AAAAAAAAAAAGAAAGAAAAAAAAAAGAAAAAAAAAATTACTCACAGACGCTCTTCCTCGGCCAGCTGCTGTGCCTCGGAGACCTCAAGCTCCAGACGCTTGCGCTCGCCAGCCAGCTTGGAGCGCGTACGGCGCTCAGACTCAAGCTCCTCTTCCAACTCGTGCAGCTTACGCTGCAGCTTCTTGCGTTCCTTGGCGTCCTCCTCGGCACGCTCGACATCAACGGCGTTGGCCTTTTGTTCCAGTGCCTGCATATCCACCTTCATGCGCAGATTCTGCTCGTTGAGAATTTGGTTGTCATCCTCCAACTCCAGCACCTGCTGCTTCATCTCCTCGACCTGTTGCGTCAAGACACGCTTGGCATTTTCCAACTCGGTCTTGGCGCTATCGTCCTGGTTGGCAATCATGTCGTCAATCTCAGCCTGCAGGCGACGCTTGGCAGACTCGGCAGTTTCAAGACGATCTGTCACCGTCTCGAGCTCGTTCTTGAGCGTGAGCACCTTGGTACTAAGCTCACGAATCTGGCTCTGCAGGGAGTCACGCTCCTCCGTAATGACGCTAGTCTTATCGCGCTCCTCGGCCAGAAACTTGTCGTGCGAGCGCTGCTTGTTGTTGAGCGAGCTAATGGTGGCTTGCAGGGTCTGAATCTCAACGTGCAAGTCCTCCACCTCAGACTCCACCTTCTTCTGAGCCTTGACAGCGCGCGCCTTTTGGTTGAGGGCTTGGTCGAGCTCCTCACGAAGACCAGAAATTTCCTTGTTCAACTTGGCCTTCTCTTCGGTAATGACGGCCATCTCCTGCTGTGTCTCCTCGCTCTTGGTACGTGCCTCACTCAGCTGTTCCTCAAGGCGAGTGGCGCGGGCCTCGTTCACGCTGGCTACGTCAAGACCGCCACGCATGTCTTCGAGCTGTGCAAGGAGATCCTTCTTTTCAATCAAATAGGTTTGCAACGAGTCCATCTCCTGGGCCAACTGCTCCTCGAGATGAGCAATCTCTTCCGACAACACGTCTGCACCCGAATCAGGCCCAAGGCACACATGTGAGCACGGGGACCAGGGCAAAGGGCGGCGGGCTATCGTGAGAACGTGAGGCGCGGGACAAGGGCGCAAAGCGTACTATTCTGCTCGTTGAGTCGGGCACTGCTATCGGTGAGCTCCTCAATGCGGTGCTCGTAGTTCTAAGCGATAAAACGGAGCAAGGGCAAGCAACAAGGCATAAGAAACCAATTCACATCAATGCCATGAAACAAACACCACAAATTGCGCATAAAAAGGACGAGGTTTCTCGTGCTTGCACAAACCTGGATGTCATCCTCGAGAGCATTGGCCTTGCGGCGCATTTTATCGGCCTCGTTTTCGGCAGCCTCGCGCGCTTGGCGCTCAGCCTGGAGCTGCTCTTGGAGCTGATCAACCTTTTCGCGCAACTCGCGCATCTCATCGTCGGACCGAGCGTGCTTAAGCAGGGGTTTGAGGCGGGTGAAGAGCTTCCACCAAGCCCAAGATCGGAGCTTCATGTACGCGCGCACGTTGCTTTGAATGACCAAGATGGCGTTGGAGCCATGCAGCAAGGCTCCATGATGGCGGCGCGCCAGGTAGCCACGGCAATGGGCCTGCAAACCCACAATCATCTTGGAGAGGCGAATGTCTCGCTCCTCCTCAAGATGGGCCAGCACGCCGGCACGGAAAAAGACCTTGGTCAAGCCAACGCGGTACGAGTTGGGGTCCAGATTCAGGGCCTCAAGCATGCGTTCGCACGCAGTGCGACCTTCGGTAAAGCCTGGACCCACGGCGTCCGGAGTCAGGATGGAGTAGCGCTGGCGGAACTCCTGGAACAAGATGCGGTTGGGGAAGCCCTTGCGGCAGATACGAATGCCCTCGAGAACACCGTTGCAGGCCAGCTGATCCAGCACAAGCTGGGCATCAATCATGCCTGGGCGCTTCTTGTGGTTGGGGATAATGCAACGCACAAAGTTGGGCACGGTGTGGTGCAGCGTGTCCATCAAACGGCTGAGTTGATCCTACCAAGATGAATCAGACAGTGAATTGTGATTGGCGAGCCAGTCGAGCAACCGGAGAGAGCCGGCCATGAGACTTCCGACATACCTTGTAGATAAAGCCAACGGTACGGAAAGCACCCTTGCGAGTACGGGAGCCCGAGGCAACGGAGGTGGAGAAGTCATCGCTCCACAGCGACTTGATGAAGGGGATGCTCGAGTCCTCGAGCTGAGCCGTCGCGTTGTCGTTCAGAGGGTCTTTGTTCTTGACGAGCCAGCCCTCAGCCGAGTATTGGACAGTGCCAGCGTAGTGAACAATGGCAAAGTCAAAGTCGTCACGCACGCCAGGGGGCACGAGCTTCTCGTGCGACTTGCAGTTGTGCACAACCTTTTCTGCCAGAGACCTGCAGATGACGGGCGTGCAGGCGAGGAACCAATAAGGGAAGGCGGAAGCCAGGACCTCAAAGCAAGATTGCGAGCACGATGGGAGCATCGCACTATGTTGAGGAAACTTACTTGTCCGTGGCCTTGGGGAAGAAGCACTCCTCGTCAACCAACTTGAGCACACCCATCTGACCATCGATGAGCTCGATGGTGGGCTGCAGGTCCAGACCAAAGTCGATAAACTCCCAATCAATCTCCTCCTTGCTGTACTCCTCCTGCTCGAGCTTGAACATGCGGTGGTTGAAGAGCTGCTGGAGCTTTTCGTTGGTGTAGTTGATGCAAAGCTGCTCAAAGCTGTTGTTCTTGAAGATCTCAAAGCCGGCAATGTCCAGGATACCAATGAAGTTGCGCGAGTCGCGCACGTTCTTGTCGAGGGTCATATTGATACGCTGCACGACCCAAAGGAAGAGGCGCTCGTACAGGGCCTTGGCCAGGGCCTCGAGAGCAAACTCAACCTGCTCCTTGGTCTGTGCCTTTTGCACAAAATCCTTGCCAGCCTTGACCTAGAGAGATGGTATTTTTGTTTGTTTTTGTAGGCCCAGACCAGGTGGGGACGGGTAAGATGACCATGGTAAGGCAAAGATTGAAGGAATTATCGTTAAAGGCAAGGAGAGGCAGTAGTGAAGCTACAGACAAAAGAAAATAACGCAGGGCTAAAGCACGTACGCGAGGGCGGGTCATTGACTTGATGAAATCGTTGTGGTTGATGCCAAGGAGAGAGCACAGGCGCTGCGAGCCTACAATCAAAGCAAGCGGGCAAACGAAATCATGAGCATGCATAAACCACATGAAAAGCAGCAGGACACACAAAGAAACACAAGCATTGGGAAAGACGTCAAGAACAAGATCCAAGGGTGGTCAGGATGGTGAACACAGCAGGGCCCTGTCGGTCGGAGGTATACGTACAAACATCTGAGGTGATGCTGGCTTGGTCGTCGCCACGGCGACCGCCCAAGACGTTGACGTTGCCGAAGAGCAGAACGGCAGAGATGACGCGCCACACATCGTTGATCTCGTCCGAGGACATGCCCATGATGCCAAACGCTTCGTTGGTCTGCTTGAATTCCTTCTTGTCATCGATGTCACGGAGGGTGACGTCGCCGTTGGACATGAAACGGTAAGACTTGATGTCTTGCAGACCAAAGTCAGTGATCAAGGCAGTGTCGGCACCGCGCAAAAGCTGGTAAAAGGCGTGAAAGTTGCGCTCGCCCTCGTTTTGGCGGATGGCACGGGACTTCTCCAGCAGGTATGTGTCAATGGTAGCACCGATAATGACGCCAGCGGCATCAAAATGAATTTTGATGAACTTGCCCTGTAGTGGTCAAAATAGATGCCGATTCAATGGTGAGCGCGCACGACTGGGAAGAAGACAGAACATAAATCAACACAAAAGTCGGCCATAGCTCGAGGTACACATACAAAGCGAGAAGAGTTGTCGTTCTTGATGGTAGCGGCGTTGCCAAAGGTCTCAAGGATGGGGTTGGCTTGGAGAAGCTGACGCTCAAGCTCGCCCTTGCCCATGCCACCACTGGCGCTGGTGCCGCCAAGAACGTCTTTAGCACGACCAGCAGCCGCCACGCTGGCCAGATACTGAATCACCTTCTTGGTGTTCTCAGTCTTACCAGCACCGGATTCACCGGTGCAGAGGATGGACTGATCGTCGCGGTCCTGAAGCATGGAACGGTAGGCGGTGTCAGCAATCGCAAACACATGGGGCGGCATGTTCTCGCGCTTTTTGCCCTTGTACAAGGCGACGGCTTCCTCAGTGTAAATGGGAAGTTGCTTGTAGGGGTTGATCACGACGCAAAACAGGCCCGAGTACGTCTGTGTGGGGCAGACAAGCATGGAGGTGGCACGACACAGGGGTAAGATCGGGGAAGATACCGAGCGAAGACAGCGTATTTGCGAGCCATTCTTGAACGGTTTCGGAGCGACAAGGCATGTACAGAGTACACGTACGTAAATGAGGTCGGCCATGTAACGATCTCGCAGATTGTGGAGCACCGAGGCCTCGTTCAGGTGGGTCAACTCGGCCATGTCCTCAACCTGGACGAGAGGAAAAGAGAAAGAGGAGAAGGCAGACGATGAGAATCCGACGCAGCTTCAAGCCTGTTGCGCAGGGTTTCAGGAGCGTGCATGGCAGTCTATTGTAGATGGGTGAGGAGAATTGCTGACCTTGTTGAATTTGGGTGGGTTCATCTGCTGGGTGTCATCCTTGGGGATGGTTACCGTCTGGTGATCCGAAACACGCTCGCAGGTGATCGAGTCACCACTGTCGCTGCGAATCTCAGCCGCAACGTAGCCTGATGGGGTGATAAAAACCAGGGTTGGAGGCATGAGAATGGACAGGCGACAGCACCAAACTTAGATGGCGCGAGGGTGCTGTGGAGGTAATGCGCGATACCTTCAGTCTCATCGGGCACCCAAACACGCTTGAGCGCTGCCCACGACTTGACATCGTCGCTGCTGCGCTGCACGCGCAAGTGTTGCAACACGCTCATGTTGCTGTTTTTCACGAGTGTAGCTCAAAGCACAAAGTGGGGGCCAGGACAGGCGAAATGATCCTTCAATCTAGAGCAGCGATGGGGGACACGATGGTGAGCACCTTGATCGAGCCAAGCAGGACTTGCTGGCTGTGCTGCCATGGTGCAGAACACCTACCCAAGGACGGATGAGAGGAGCTTCAGGATCAAAAGCGCCAGGGGAGGCGCTGACCACTGACGGATCTACCGAGCACACGGCCACCAAAATCAGCCAGGAGACGCTGACACCAAGTACCCAAGCACACAGGGAGGAAGCCATCATATGGGAAGCCATCGACGGGTTCGCAGTCATCCCCTCGCCTCAAAGAAAGGCAGTGTGAAACAAAGACAGAGTGTGGCAGGGGAGGCGAGCAAGCAAGCAAAAGACCAAGGGAGTGAAAGCTGTGTGATAAGAAAATGGCAGCCCTGGAGTCCTCACGCACAAGGTCAGAGTCGTTTGAGCGCAATGTCTGAACTCAGGGATGGGTTTGAGAGGCAAGATGCAAATGCCAGCGCAAAAAGCCGCAGTTCGTGTCAAACAGACAGTCTGTGTCAGTGCCAGTCTCAGCAACGCAATGAGGTCATGGGGGAGACAGGAGCAGACCAGGGAGGGGTGCATGGATAATGCGCGCGAAAAGGAGGAAGGGATTGACCGCGCGAGCCACTGGCGCTGCAGCCAGCGATTTCAACTGGAGTGCTTTGGCAAACGACAACAGAAGCGATGCATCACAGACAGAATAAACAAAGCCTTGCTAAACAGCAGCACCCAAGAGATCGCACACACACACACACACACACACACGGTCCAGAGCAAGTCCACATTATGGCATTCACGCGTGCCCACCAGGCACTGGCGCTGCCGTTTCTACCTGATCAAGCGTTGGTCTTTGGTGGGTGTGTGGACGCCACTGAACCAAACGAAACTCTTTCTCTGCAACCACACACACACTTGAAATTTTTGACTGTTTGTGTCTCTGTGTGTGTGGCTCTGTCTCTGTGTGTGTGGCTCTCTCTCGCTCTCTCTCTCTTCTCTGCTCTCTCTCTCTCTTCAAAATTTTCTTTTGTTCTGGGGGGTGCAGTCACACATGCAGGTCGTTAAAGCCTGTATGTTGGCAGGGGCAATCGCACACGCGGGAACACCACTGGTTATAGAAAGGTGCGTGTGTAAAACAGGCTCCAACACGCTCCTTCAGCGTGTTGGATGTTTCCGTCAAAATTTGAGATCTGGGAAAAAGGAGAAAAAAACAAGCTTGCCCATGCACTCGCTTACTGCCAAGTGTGTGTGCGCTCGAGCTGTGACAGGCAAGGCCTCCAGGTAGCAACATAGAGTCAAAGACGAGATGAAGATTTGAGAATTGTTGTTAACTCAATTTTGTCGCTTAAATTATTTAAATTGGGATTCCATGCATGAATGCAAAGTGGCTAGAGCGAGCTGTGTGTGCGAGCAAGCAGACCACAACTGCGGACAGAAGAGCTTGTGCTTGACTTACATCGGATGTTAAGATATCAAGGTTCGTGATGACGCACGGTCACGACCGCGGCCACGACTATGGCCTCGCCCCGTGCTTCGACCACGAGCAGCCCTCGACCCATGCCCGACGGTATCGGGGGCAGTCTCCGAGACCGACTGATGACCGCCATTTCGACCCCTTTTGCCTTGACGACCCCGATGAGCACCGCGGCCGCGGCCGCGCCCACGACCACGACCACGATGAGGAGCTGGCAGGTCGAATGCCTGGGCTCGAGCCCGGTCAAGGATTGTCTCCAAGGACAGGCAGGGCAGATCGAGATGCGAGGCCACCCGCTGGACCAGCTCATCCGTGCTTGCCAAAGTGGCCGGGCCTCCAAGCCGCCGTGCACAATCGATGAGCGCTCGCACTTGTCGCAAGTGCTCCTGCTCTGCATCCGATCCTGCAGATGCAGCCTCCAGCTCTTGCCAAAATTCCGCCTCATCCGCGCTCTCCTCAAGACCCAGGGCCTCCGAGTCTGAAACAGCGTCCAAGGGTGAGGTCTCGAGCTGCACATGGGGACTTGGCGCCTGTGTCATCTGATCCAAAAATCGTATGGCCTCGCGTGCCCGCCCATTGATAGAGCCCGTGCCCGATTTGAGCAAGTCCAGCCCGCGCAACGCAGCCTGCGCGACCACCACCACACACCGCTCCAGCTGTGCCAGCTCGCGACCTGCCGCTAGCGCCATGGCCCACGCCTCAGCGTCCGGAATCACAAAGGGTGTCAGTTGAACCGCTTGTTGAGCCGCTGCCACTTGAGCTTGCAGCTGTGCCACGTTGGCCTCGAGCCGCAGCTGCCCCATACGTGCCTGGACTGTAGTCACGTCAGCTGCCACGGCGTCTTCATCCACTTTTTTGGAGCGTGACGGAGCCAGGTGCTTCTCTTGCTGCTGCACCAAACGGTGCAGCGTGGCTCTGAGATGAAGCACCCCAGACTCACCCCGTTCCACTTCCTGAGGATAAGTGCCCGGGAGCAAGTCGCCCCAGTCTATAACCCGCGCCAGTCGCGCCGTACAAGTATTTCCATGCGAAGCCGACAAAAGGTTGGTTGCTGGCAGAACATAACGAAGGCCTTGAAGCTCTTGATCTTCTGGGGTGGCCATTGACTCGCCCGGGGCCACAGCCGTCGACACGTGGGTGACAGCCGACTTGGCTGCTGTGTGGAGTTGCACGGCCGCATCCAAAAGCTGCGCAACGCCCGCTTGACCAGATCGCCGCTGCATTTCCTTCTGGACAGGCATGCTGAGCAGCCATCGCAGCCACAGCTGGGCTGCTGCAAGCGAACTCGTCGTGATCGTGTGCGGTTCAATACCCGCGAATACCACAAGCTGTTGCTTTGCCACAGACAGCGTGGCCTCAGCCCATCGCATGCATAGATACATGGCACAATCACGCGCCATGGAGTCTTTGGCCAAGGCCAAGGCATGCTGGATCAGCACGCCCAGCTGCAAGCTCGTGGGCCTGCCTTCTTCCTTCACCTGGCCCGTCGTGGTCTCCGTCTCCATGCAAAGCTGGTCACGAGCCAGTTGGACGAGCCGAACGCAGCGGTCTTGAAAGCCACCCAAACTTTGGCCTCGAGCACAATCAAGTAGGACTCGGGCCACCTGGGCCACCACCGAGCGTTCCAAGGTCTCCCTGCCATCAACCCGGTGCCCAGATCGGGGTCAGTGTGAGTGTACGCGGGTGGGTGAACCAAGGCTGCTTTGGTCGGGTCTTTCAGGCGTCTGACGCTTCTTGAGCGGCACGCGGGTACGGGAAACCAAAGGTGCAAACAGGCGAATCCAAGATACCGCTGTGCACGCAGGGCACCATTCGTCGTCGAATCAGCCTCAGCCGGCAGCATGACTTGAGGCTCAACCTGAATCCAACACACACAAAAAAAAAAAAAAAAAAATCCTCGCGTCACGTCTGGCGCAGGCGCTCACGAGGCGCGGTGGTCAGGATGAAAATGAGCGATCATACCTGATCCAGGACGGCCAACAAGCCCGTGTTCGCATTGCGCGCCCGCTGCTGCGATGCAGCACTATAGCGACCAAACACAAAAAACGGCAGGCGGCGCGCAAACGTTTGAGCCAGATATTAATATCAGATTGACACGAAAATGCAGATTTCAGACTGCAATGCTATGGTCGGCCATGCCTCCTCGCTTCCACTGCCATCTCGCAGGCCGCAGGGATACGTACGCGCGGGCATAGGCGTACATGAGCGCCAGTGGAGACTCCGCTTTCACATCTTGCAACACCAAGGCAGCTTGATGCCAAGCCGTGCCTTTATTTTACCCAGAAGCAAAGAGGAGAGCGTCAGCAGCAGTGCTTGAGGCTTGAGGGCTTGATAAAACGAAGAGGGGCATCGGTAATTCAACGCACCATCATCTGGATTCAGGCGCTGTGCCGCTGTATAACAGGCCAGGGCTGCCAGATGGTGAGGAGTGGTGGCGTCCAGCTGGCCCAGGTATCGCTCTGCAATCACCTCACGCGAATGAGATTGAACAGCCTGCTGGGGAGGGGGGTGTTGCAATGGTTTCAAAGCCAGCGCACCCGTGTCTCCACTCCAAATGAGGCAACGATGTTGCAGTGCAACTGCAGGTGTGGTCCGTCGGACTGTCTCGAGCAACCTGTTGTAGCCACAAAATTCCAAAATGGCCGGTGGCGGATGGGCAAGTCAGTTGAGTTGTGAGCTGCAATGTCAGTCAGAACACAGTTGAGCGACGCACCCAAGGCCAGCCAGCAGCGTGGCTCGCACGCGGGCCGTTGCTTCCGGGGCTACCTGTGTCCACGAGACCAACAAATATCAGGCACAAAGGTTACATTGAAGAAGACGTCTTGAAAGAAAGAAAAGAAGAAACAACACGCAAAGAAGGAAAGGCTATTTTGGCCTAGGAGCCCAGCAGGTGCGCACGTCAACGTCAACGTACTGCCTCGGCAGCTGGATCCTCATCGTGGAGTGCCCGCCACCATTTGAAGCGCGCGTGGATGCCATATCGCCAGTAGCTCAGAACAATCTCCTATCGCATGCCATCACACACAGCCATGAACCTTCAGGCTTAACGACTTGCCCGGCTTTGGCTCACGGTGCTGGTCCGTGTCCCAAGCGCAATGAATTACATGCAGCCCTGGGCCATGTCGACCGCGAATCACACGGGTGCATACCGCGAGCGGTCGGGGCTGGCCCAGTCCAAGGTCAATGAGCTGCCGCAAGCTACAAAGCAACAAAAGCCACCGATCAGCAAGAGAAAGGATCCAAGCGGAAGCTCCAATTGCCAGCTTTAATCCAAGTGGCCGACATACCGGTCAACAAGATGCTGATACGGCGGCGCGTACAAAGTCTCCAGGGCACGTCTACCCTGGCAGCCGGCCTGACGCAGAGATTCCTTGAGTTGCGCGCTTATCTCCTCGCATTGTCTATCAGAGCGAGAAACAGGGTCGCGCGGTCCACAAGCGCAACGTGGCGGCCGGAATGAGCGGCAGCGGAAGCACCTCCGCAGCAGCAAGGCGAGCAGCAGCAGACGAACGCTGTGAGATCATTTTTCTCGTTCAGACGGCTCATCCTGAACAGCCGTTGTAAACTGCTGTTATATAAAAACTCACAATCACTTTATCGGGAAAAATATCTCCTCCAACTATTCAAATCACTCACACGCTGAGCAGGGCACTTTTCCATACGTGACTGGTACGTCGCCCTTGTCGTGTGCATGTGTGTGTCGCCCCGAGCCACCTGCGAGTCGGGTCGGGTCTGTCTCCATGCGTCCGTTCTTCTTCTGGTGCGGGAGGGAGTTTTGATGGCAGCCCGACTACTCTATCCATTGGGGACCAGAACCAGTATTGGTCCGGTGCTGCCAGCGTAGCGTGTGCAGGCTATTGCGGTTGGCCCAACATCATTCTTTCGTTGTTGAGGTTGAGCTGATTGCGAAAAACCTGGCCGGGCGGCGGGATACAGCCACCTTTCAGCAGGGGCATGCGTTGTCGGGGTAGCGCCTGTTTTGCAATGTCGTTTGAGCCGAGTTATATCATCGGACCTGCCTTTGTGGCACTTGTTGTTTTTTGCTTTCGTGTCTTTTTGTTTTTTTGGGGGGGAAGACATAACGACCTTGACGCCAAGATCGTGTGCCTTTTGGTCGTTGGGTCTTTGCTGGGCCGCTAGCCGTCTTCGTGCGCAGGTTTCGGATGTTGTCATGGCGCTTACCAACTCATTCTCATTGCTTTGGTTGTGTCTCTTTTGGCATAGGTCATCATGGTTCGCTACGCTCGCAACCCCGACGAGGCCGTCGAAGCCAAGAGTGAGTTTCCTCTCCTGATTGGCCTTTGCCATGTGCCTCGTTCAAGTGGAGGGGGGGTTGTCTCTTGCTATTTCCCTTTCATTAGTCTCATTCCTCCCTTTGCTTCTGGTCTTGTTTTGTGATTTAGCCTGCAAGACGCGGGGCAGCTACCTGCGCGTGCACTACAAGGTAAGCCGTAATGATTTGTGTCGGACCTTGGCGATGGCGTTCTTGACGCTCTTCCAAAGAAAGTTGAGCGAGACCACCTCCTTGTACAGTCTCATTTGGATGTGGTTGGTGCTGCTTTTCGTTGATAGAACACGCGCGAGACCGTTCACGCCATCAAGGGCATGACCCTCAAGCGTGCTCAGGCCTTCCTTGAGAACGTCAAGGCCAAGAAGGAGATTGTCCCCTTCAAGCGCTACAACGGCTCCATCGGCCGCAAGGCCCAGTGCAAGGCCTGGGGCTGGTCTCAGGGTCGCTGGCCCACCAAGTCGGCCGAGTTCGTGCTTGGTCTGCTCAAGAACGCCGAGTCCAACGCTGAGGCCAAGAACCTCGACACCGAGAAGCTCGTCATTGAGCATGGTCAGGTCAACCGCGCCCCCCACATGCGCCGCCGCACTTACCGTGCGCACGGTCGTATTAACCCCTACCAGTCGTCCCCTTGCCACGTCGAGATGTGGCTGGTTGAGCGCGACGAGACCGTTCCCGCCGCCCAGGACTCGACCGGCCGCTCCAAGAAGGTGGTCTCGGCTTAAGCGTGCGTTCCCCTAACTGTCTCTGAGGCTTTTTGAGGCGCACACCCGGGCCGCGCCCTTTCTCCTGATCCCGGACGGTCCGAACTCGCAGCAATTGACCATTTATACAGAACCTTTTGGTTTTTTGGTTTTTTTTTTCCTTGTTTCCTTGAATGTGTTAAATCTTTCATCCCCGTCAACTTCTCGTAATTAGCGTCGCACTGTCGATAAAAAAAAATGACATGGCAGACTGCATGTAACCTCCAATTTTCGAGTCTTTTTGCGAGTTGTGGAATAGAGCGTGCAAGCAGGCCTCAGAGGTGCTTTCAGAGAAGGGAGGTAGAAAAAACGCGTGTTACTCGTCATCTTCGCCGTCCTCAACATCCTCGTACACGGTGGTGTACATCTCACCCAATTGTCGCGCCGTCTTGGCAAAGGTCTCATAATCAAGTACCAGGCACTGACGAAAGGCTCTGCCAAACCATCAAGGCCAAAGACTTAGCATGAGGCACGGAACATGCACAAGCAAACACGATCGCCGGCTCGCAGTGGCTGCCCGGCCAAGCGTACCGATATGGGTAGCTGCCTTCGCTATCCTGCACAACAGACACTTCAAAGGCCGCCCGATGCAGCGCCACCTAGGCACAAGCACACCACTTGCTCCGTGAGACGAGCTGGGCCGTGCAACATGTCATCACGCCTGCCGCGACCTACCGCGGAGAATTGCTCGTCCTCCTCACAAGAAAAGTTGAGGGGCGCCTGTCGGTTGCCCGCAGAGATATGAGCTCAACGAAGCATGCCATGATCAAGCTCGCTCAGCCACAGGCGCACAAGTTGCACCCACTTCGTTACCCGAGGCTCCCCGCTCCTTCCAGGCCTTGATGATCATGACCACTTGTGTCGGCGTTGCGGCTTGGCCCTGGTCAATCGAAAGAAAGCACGAGCCATCAGTGAATAAGCTCGACGCCCGCGGGCCCGTTGACTCGAGTACACGCGTGCTCAAAGAGGGTGTAATCACGGGCCGCAGGTTAGCCTCAAGGCGTCAGCACGTACAGCCTGGACCGCAGTGTCGAGATCCTGCACCAAACTGTTATACAAACCGACCGCCAGTTGAGGCGGCAGGTTGATGAAGCGCTCCCTGCACACGGTGTGCGTAACATGCCCCACAGTCAGGTTTGTTCACAGAACAGCCAGGTCAGGCGGGCACGAGAGCTTTGCAAGCAAAAGGAGCAAGTTGATATCGCGCAGCCTGTACAACGCACGCGATCAGCAATAGATTATTGCTGTTCTTCAAAGCAGCTGCCAATTGGGTCTTTTGACGTCAACAGCAAGAACACGCCGTGAGCATTCTCATCTCCGTCCCATCTCAGAGACTCAATCGCCTAATCGCCGCTTCCCCTTGCGCCTTCAACTGTCCCTTGTCCCTCAGCGAAGCAAGCGTGGCCAGCACCTTGAAATCCATGTCCGAGATGTGCTTGGCCAGCCATTGCTTGAGTGCACGCAGCCAGCTCGACTTCTGCTTGGAGCAAGGGAAAGCCCCAAGGGAAAGGCCCACGAGTCAGGCTCGAGTGGGTAGACTTATTGCCATAATGTGAGAGCCAAAGGTGTCCTCCCTGACCTTGATGTCACCCATACGCAGGGGGCTCATGACCGCGTACACGTCATAGGCACCGTCTGGATCCTCATCTGTGGCGCCGTCTACCGCATCGCTCTGCGCCAGTGCAAACAGCATGAAATCAAAGCCCGGTGCAGTACCAGCCAGCAAGTGTGCAGCAGAAAGTGGGCACTTACCGCAGCTTCTTGAGCTGCGGCCTGGGCCGCCTTATCGCTGGCCACGATGCCCGAGGTGGGATCTTGTTCGACTTTGATGACAGTAGACTGCTCGGCTTTGTCGATGATGGTCCGCGCCAACTCTCCGAGGTCTGCATCTGCCCGTGGCATCATCTGACAGCAAGGCCAGGGAAGCATGCATGAGCCGGGCCACCAAGGACTACAAACTGCTGTGCGTGGTCAATCATGGGTCCGAGCGCAGGCACCCACCTGCTGCAACAGCGTTTTGATGCCCCAAAAGTCATCACCAATGGGCTGGAAGGCGTTAAAGCTGACGTTGAGTGTCTGTCACCATTGCGGGAGATGAGCGTCGCAGAGTGTGAACCGACGGAAGCACTCGTCGTTTTTCAGCTTGCTCAAGCCTTGCATTTCCTCAGCCAGCCACATGACCGTTCACATACAACTTTCTCTATCCAAAGCGACACTGCGGATAGCCAAAAGCAAAGGCGGTCAAACGTACGTCATCGTCCCCCTCCTCGACCAGGTCGGCCGCCATGAGCGTCGTGGGTGCCTCCTCTGCGTCTTCGGTATCTACCACGGGGGCCGCCTTCTCCTGGCGCTTGACCTTCTTGTTCTGTGACTCGGCCATGCCAACCGTTTGTGCCAAACGCACTTTTCTCCTTTCACTCCACCTATCCGGACTCACTCCTACGACCGTTGAGCCAATGGCGACCAGACCCGAGAGCCCACCACCGATTGAAGTGTGTTTTCGCCGGACGGGCTGAATCACGTGCTGACAATGTGCACCACGTTTGTCTTACATTTATGTCTGACAACAACGCCAACTTTTCACTTGGACAAGTCACAACCAGTTTGGATTTTTTGTGAGAGAGGAGAGAGAGCGAGAGAGAGAGAAAAGCTGACACGATGATGAAGGGCGAAGGGCGGGATCATGACATGACATGGTGTAGACGGCAGCGCCCGGGGCAGCGTTGGTGAGGTGCCAGCGGGACTGGTCTTGCACTGGACGTGCTTTTCGCTGCATCCACTTCTTTATCTATCTCTCTTTCTCTGTCGGGGAGGGTTTTCTTCCGTTGACATGAGTCAGCAGCCTAGTCAATCGGCTGGCGGGGCCAGAGCCATTCAGGATCGCTGGCGCTTCTACGACATTTGCCTGCTTTTGGATCAGATGGAACAGAACCGGCGTGATAAGAGCAAAATCCGGGCCCTCTTGACCAAATCCTTTCAGCATTGGCGTGCAAGCGCCTCTGACAACGCCGAGGTAACGACTGCCTCTACAACTCGTCTGCTGATGTTGAATGCGCCTCGCATGCCGTTCTGATATGAGAGGGTGATCAAGCTCATGCCCCATTGCCGTCGCCGTATCAACCTAGATCGACAATGCCATGCCCTTGATGCGGCTGCTCCTCCCCCATCTGGATCTGAAGCGTGGCAGCTACAATTTGAAAGAGGTATGACTGGACATACTTTTTACGTCTGCACGATGCTCCCTGTCACGTGCTCCTGGGCTGGTGTTTTCTCGCGGCAGCGCGCGGAAGAAATGGGGCGACTCTCAAGCACCGCCATACTTGCTGCATATTAGCCAACCATTTCCAAACTGTACATTGAATGCCTCGGCTTGAACAAGGTCACCAGCGCAGATGCACAGACCCTCATCAACTGGAAGGAATCGGGTGGCGTATGTTCTGCCCCAAACCCTTTGCAGCATTCCCCTATTGCCCCCGAGCAGCACAGTGGCACTCAGTTCATTCAGCCTCCCTCCTCTCACTTGGGTGACGTTGCGTTTGTAGAAAAATGCCGGCGTCTTGTACAAGCTCATTGGAGACATCATGAAGAGCCGAGCCGCTGCGAAACCCAGGTTCTGCCCATGTCTCCCTCCCACGTACTGCCGCTGTCTATCATCATCTTGGTCGTGCCCCGTGCACAAGCCCTGCACTCCTGACGTGTCTTGTCTTGCAAAATTTGTTTTATCCACTACAGCTTGACGCTGCGTGAAATCAATGAGAGCTTGGACCAATTGGCGGCTGTGGGTCGCGACCGCTACAACCGGCGCCGCCCCGAGGCCAACGATGTCGCTGGCAACGATCCATCCACGGGACCGACGGGTCCCTCACAAGGACCGGGGCGCCGCGGGCGAGCCAGCAAGGAAGGACAGGCGGCCGTTTTGGACCAGCTCATCAAGCGAGCCACTGCACTTGAACATCGCTGGCTTGTGGCCATAATCCTCCGTGATCTGAAGTGTGGCTTCAAGGATACCACCGTCTTCTCCTGCTTTCACGACCAGGCCGAGGAATTTTATCATCGCAATAGCAACCTCGAGGCTCTATGCAAGGAGCTACACGGCTCGGGCCACGTGGACCTCATCAAAATCCGGCCAGGTGACAGCTGTGGCGTGATGCTGGCCAAAGCCACCCGCAACAAGGACGACCGTGGCAACACCCTTGACCGCTTGATTCGCTCCTTTGGTGATCCCTTTCTGATGGAGATCAAGTGGGATGGCGAGCGCATCCACTTGCACAAGGTAGACCTTAAGCGTACCCACCAGCGCTTTGGGCCCAACGTGTCAAGACCTCAACCCTGAAGCAGTCTTTGAATGGGGCACTGAGGCCAAACGGGAAACAACACAGGTTGATGCAGAGCCACGACCCGGCTTACCTTTTGATCATGTCGCCATTGAATCGTTTCTATGCACGAGTGTAGGATGGCAGCGATTGCTGGTATTTCTCACGCAATCGCCACGACTTTACCAATGCCTACTGTACCACTGACACCTCGAAATCGCACTGGCACAATGTTCAACCCGCCTTTGCCAAGTAAGGCTGTACATTGCACGAGCTCCTGTTGCCTCTTGCACACCAATCGGCATTGTCCACAACTCACCGCCTTGACCATCTGCCACGAATGATGGGTGCCTGACCTATAGAGGTGTCCATTCTTGTATTCTTGACGGTGAAATGTTGGGCTACAATACCCGCACACACGAACTCGTGGCCAAGGACGATAATTTTGATGTCAAGGCCCTGGCGCGCCCCAACACGGAAACCAACCTCAAATACACGCATGTACGGGAATCGCTCGCGCTGGCGCCTGTCTCCTCTTGCTCTTCTCGCTGGCTCGCCCGTGTGCTTTGTGGTCCACCTCCGGTACCATGTGTGTCAGCCGGCCCTGGGGACGTGGGATGCAAGTGTTCCATCAGACGAGCGCCTTCATCATCTGCCTAATCGCTACGCGCTATGCCCGGCATGAGCAGGTTGTGCCCTTGTACTTGGTGTGGGACATTATTTATCTGAATGGTCATAACCTGCTGGATATGAGCATGATCGAGCGTCGACGCTTGCTTGAAGCCAACATCCAGCCCGTTGAAGGCCGTCTACACATTGTGGAGCTAGAGGTACCGTGTTGTGCTGCTTGTTCCCTCCCCCGCCGGTGTGTGCGCATTTCATCCACTCGAGCCACAACTCATGGCAACTTGATGCCATGGGTGGGAGCAGGTTGGCCACGGCAAAGACGACTTTTTGCGCTTTGCCAATCATGTCATGCAGCAAGGACACGAAGGCGTGATTGTCAAACGGCAGGATAGCCGCTACTGCTTGGGCCAACGTGGGGGTGGTTGGTGGAAGTGGAAGCCCGAGTACCACCAGTCTCTACAAGATACCCTGGACTTGGTCATTGTGGGCGGCTATTTTGGGTGAGAAACAAGATGCATGCACGGCCCAGCTCATCCACGTGTCATCGTTGCGCAGCTCAGAGTGCTGCTTTGCGCCCGCCGTTCTTGTGGGCGTGTGTAGAGAAGGATCACGGCGCTCCGGAGCCATCTCTCACTTTATGCTGGCTGTTGCGGAGGACCGCCCACCTGATGCACCTGCGGGCTGGAAGCCGACCCGTTTTCACTCGTGCTGCAAAGTGGGCACGGGTTACTCGTTTAACGAGCTGGAGCGTGTCCGCCGCAAGCTGGCGCCGCACTGGCACAAGTGGAAGGCGCCTGCTCCGGGCGATACCCTCAACCCCTGCGGCATGGGACCTGGGTGCGTGCGTTACTTTCCTTCATTTTAGCATGCACGTATCTCTGGGCCCAATCTTTGCTCTCACCTGGGCCATCTTTCTTGTCTCGCGGCAACAGTGTGTTCCTCGCCATGCCCAATTTCAAGGAGCGACCTGACTATTGGATACCTCCGGATCAAAGCATTGTGGTGGAAATGAAGGCCGCTTCGCTCATTGAAACCAACCAATTTGCCACTGGCTTGACCCTGCGCTTTCCCCGCCTCGTCAAGTTCCGAGACTCTGAGAAGGTTGGCATCTGGTCTGTGGACCCTGGTGGAATGAGCCATCATGCCTTACGCATGCCTTACGGCTAGCTGTCGCTGCGGCTGTTCGTACTGATTGCATCGCCGGTTGACCGCGTTTGTGGGTCTGTGAATTTGAATCATGTCCTTTGTTTTAGGACTGGTTTGAATGTGCCACCATTTCTGACCTGCGAACCGCTGGTACCCGACACGGCCAACTCGTGTCAGGTGTTCTGGATGCCGACTCCTTTGGCTCGGGTGACGGCTCGCCGGCCAAGCGTGCCAAACGGGCAGTCCGAGTACATCAAAACTATGGTGCAGTCAATGTGGACGACGTTCAGGTTGAGTAAGTTCCACGTTGTTCGATGTACGACGCCTTGGGTCGTTGGATCTCAACTCACCCTCGGTGTTTGTTGCCCACAGGATGGACGCTCTAAAGGGCCGTGAGTTTCTGCTTGATAAGCTCGAGGACACGGGCCCCTTGTCGCGTGAAACCATCGCGAGCATGATCAAGCAGCTAGGGGGGCAGCAGGCCGTAGCCAGCCTCCAGCCAGGAACAATCGTCATTTCTGACAGTCTTACCTTTCGCGTTCGGAGTCAGCGTGTCAAGGTCGACGTCGTCAAGGTGTGGTACTTCGTCTTGCCTCCCTCACACAATGTAACCTGGCCGTGCTCTCTTTTGTGTGTATGTGTACAGTGGAGACAGGATTGATCCTCGTCAGTCGCTCATGATACACCAAACGGGGCTTGCTCGCACAGCCTGTGTGGATTCTTCATTGCTATCAACAACGTCGCTTGGTTCCATTAAAGCCACGCTACATGGTCGAAGCGACAGAAGCGACGACTCAGCTCTTTCGTTCGCACTTTGATGATCTTGGTGTGTGCCCATAGCTTGAGCTGTTTGGCGGGGCCTGTGTGGTGGGCATGGAGCCTCATGAACAGCGTGTTTCATTGTTAGGCGACTCTTACGTGGATGATCTGGCGGTGGACGAGTTGGATGACATTCTGCGCAGCTCTTCATCCGCCAACCCATCAAACCGAGCGGTGATATCTTGTGACCTGTGCCTCTTTTGCGCCGCGTACCGTGCTTGCACTGTGCGCACCAGTCCGCCAACTCACTCGGCACTTTTCTACCCGCTCGCCACCGTACCCATCAAGGATTGTCTTGCTGACATTGAGGAGTGTCTGCCATCTTTGCCCGTCTTTCGTGGCACGGTATTATATTTTGATGTGTTTCGCCATGTTGTGCTGCGCCAAGCAAGCACGCGTGTGGACTACTCTCCCTTGCTGACACTGCAACTGGAGGTGCGTGGCGTGACTTGCGCTTGCACACTTGTAGCCTTGCTCTTTCTGATACTTTGGGTGGGTCTGCCGGATAGGCCAAACTTGCCGGGGCCGAACTGGCGCTGGTACTCGATGAGCGCGTGACGCATGTGGTGATGGATGAGCATCGCCGATCTACCCACCGCCTGGAGTTGCAAGCCGCGCTGCAAGAACTGGGTCTGAATTTGCCGGTGGTGCACGGCGATTGGGTCAAAGAATGCCTGGCGCAACGCCAGCAGGTGGATCTGCGGCCCTACACCCATCATGCCTTTTACCGATTTGACTAGTGCCGTGCTGCTTTGAGTGACGAACACGCAGGGGGCTGATCATCCATGATAGTTCATGTGAATGTCAATTTAATTCTTTCGTTTCCAGATAAAATACCACAAAAACATGTCGAGCACAGTCATCCATCACGCCAACAACACTCTCCTGGATTGAGACGCAGAGATGAAGGAAGCGATGGCGGAATGAATACCATGATAATTTGTTGTCTTTTTTAATTCGAGAGCTTTGCGACATTGGTCAATCAAAAATTCGAGTAGAGAAAATTAGCCCAGACGAGCAGATCCTTTTTACAGGATCGTGTTGCCTACAGACCCAGACTGGGTTGCTGTTGAGCTAAGAGCTGTTGCTCAAGCTGAGCAGGGAGACGCTGGCCCTGATCGTCGACACATTGACCATCACGCTGTAGTTTGCCATCCTGGGCTTGACGCCAGAAGCGCTGTGTGCAAGTCACGCGACGTCCGTCCACGTCCATGCTCTCCTGCACCTGGGTCTCCTGTTGTCTGGTGGCGCTGTTGTACGAGGTGGAGGAGGAGAAGGAGCGTCCGTGGTGGCCGAAAAACTGCTCCAGCTGCTCAAAGGGATTGCCGGTTCGTGCCGAGGTGCCAAATTGAGCTCCGAACCGGGGTGCTTGATGGGATGCGGAATCGGAATTAGCTGATGCTTCTTGATAATCCCGGTACACGTGACGCTGGTGCTGACTGGGCATCTGGCCCAGATCGACTCCTGCGCCCTCTTCCGGTGATTCTTGTTGCGCTGCTTGCGAGACGTGCTGCTGTTGCCGGTGCTGGTGTTCGCGATAACGGTACTCGCGCGAGAGCAGAGCATCGCGGCGACTCTTGCTTGCGGGCAGGGCCGAGGCTGGAGCTGATGGCTGGTCGTCGGGGCCCCAGGCGGCTTCGTATGTTTCGCGGCCGGCGGGAAGCTGGCCACCCAGTCCCAACGCAAGGCCGAGACCGAGGCCACCAGTCAGCGCGGCAAACATGTCCTCCATGGCGTCGAGGGCTTCGTGATGGAGCTGATGCAGGGCTTCATCGAAATGAGGGCCCTGGTTGGGGTCCTTGTTACCACCCTCATCATCGGTAGGTGGGTTGCCGCTGCCACCTACGTTGCCGCTGAAATACGAGTTGGACGGTGGGTTTCGCACAAAAGCAACTCCAGCCCCGGGATCCACGGCACCGAAATTGAACAGGGTCCATTGCGGAATCATGATGCACGATATTCAAGTCGACGTCGTCTTCCACTCGGCACCAGCTACGCAAATCAGACGGCTCCAAAAAAACAACGATGCCAAACAAGGTTGATGACACGCAGTACCAGCAACGTGCAGCCACGACCAAAGCAACGGCAGCCACAACCAAAGCAACGGCAGCGACAACGAACAGTGACAGCAAACGGCCACGACAACGCGAGTTGGGTTTGTTGATATTCACATGAAAACACCAAAAAAATTTGATAGGGGGCGTTGAACACGATAGAGAGAGAGGGAGAGGGAGAAAAATGCAACAAATTGTTTTGAGCTGGGAGGGATACGTGGTCTGCCTGCAACAAGCGCATCTCACGGCAACAACAAGTTGCCTTGCCGGGCTTAGTGCATCTGCAACAATGGCGGGTGTGTACGACGTTAGGCTTCAATTGCCTGGCTGCGCCTGCGTATCAGCAGGGTGTGGGGCTTGGCTCCACAACCAAGCCCCTTGCTGCCACCATCCCCATGCCATCGCACAGCCTCTCACGAGCGTGCCGTGTGTGCTCCTCGCTGCCCTTTTGCCTTGGAGCTCTGGCGTTTCACCACAGAAGATTCCAGCGATTTCGGATTTGCGCAGAAAGTATTTCGACCCTAACTTTCAATACAAAACACATCGACCCCTAGTCGTTCATAAAGTAAAATATATAATAAATTGTATTATGCGACAAAGCGTATCTTTTGTTACAGTTACGTTCAGCAGCACGTTTCTCTCTCTCTCTCTCTCTCTCTCTCTCGCGCTCTCTCACTTTCTCTGTCTCACTTTGACAATGGCAGCGACAATGTTGGCGAGCCTCGTGACTCGACGCGCTCTGGGGCCTGTGGTGGCTTCAGCGGCACGTCTTGGTCCCCTCCATGAAGCGCAGGTAACGTGCAAACGTGATCATGATACAGCCACCGGCCGCCGGCGCACAAGACTCACCATCGACTGGGCTGGTCCATGCTTCTAGGTGGTGGTGCGCCGCACTAAGAAGCGCGGCATTCATCCGAGGTACCTGCGCCCAACGCCATCCGCTTGACGCTGCTGCACGTGTACACCAGGCCGGCTTGACTGACATTGATGCCATGCCTGTCGCTCTGTGCGCCTAGGGTTTTTGAAACGGAAATCGTCATGACCAACGGTGCCACCATGCTGCTGGATGAGAGTGTGCCTGTACGCGCTCGCACTTTTCATGTCGTCATGTTTGCTTGCTTGAAACTGTGTCCTTTCACCATAAATTGCATGCGTTGACGTGCCCGCGTATTCTCGATTTCCCCCAGGGCAAGTTTCAGCGCAAGCTGACGGAAGATATCTACAACACCGATCCGTGGGTACCCAAGGACAAGTTGCCATCTCTATCGCATTGTGTGTGTGTGTGTGTGTGTGTGTGTGTGTGTGTGTGTGTGTGTGTGTGTGTGTGTGTGTGTGTGTGTGTGTGTGTGTGTGTGTGTGTGTGTGTGTGTGTGTGTGTGTGTGTGTGTGTGTGTGTGTGTGTGTGTGTGTGTGTGTGTGTGTGTGTGTGTGTGTGTGTGTGTGTGTGTGTGTGTGTGTGTGTGTGTGTGTGTGTGTGTGTGTGTGTGTGTGTGTGTGTGCTGCAGAACATGCCGTTTTGATACATGCACTGATCCACCTCGTGCTTGGCCACATTTAGGTGTTGGAGTTTGAACGCAAGTTCAACGACTCTGACTTTTTCCACATTCCCGACGATTTCGAAGACGCAAACCAGCGTTAATGCATCGCATTGCGTCCCCACCATTCCTGAAACCACACCATTGGATTTTGTGTTCAACGGCCTGCACATGAGCTGACCCGTCCAACCCATTAGGCCCGGCCCGCGGGCGCCGCACCGCTGTCTGAGACTGTTGTGTCGCCCCATTTCCTTCGACACTTTGTTTTTCTTTATTTTTTTTTTTTTAACCCTTGGGCTTTCTTGCTCTTTTGTGTGTGTGTGTGTGCTACCGATCTACACACACTCACCCCGACCAGTACCTTTACATGGTTCTTGCCAATAACTGTTTTCCATTTGCTAAAAGGTCTGGTTCCAGTGACTCGCAGTTTATTTTTGCGTTTCGCGATCATTGAGCTCTGCCAAAAAAAACCTCCCATGACTGATGCTTGCAGTGGCTATTTTGGTTGGTCAAGAGCCAAAATAGTATTGTGACAAACAAAAGCAACATTTTGTGTCCGTGTTATCAACTGCATTTGAGCCGAGGGTACAACCACGAAACAACAAGCAAGTAGATCGCTGCGTGGGGTTTACAGCAACATGATGGCAAAGAACAAGAAAAACGAACAGGAATGATATCAAGAGACTGAAAAATGGACGTATAGGGGCTCGTTGCACGCCCTCGGCGTGCCTGCTTAAGCATGCCGACGCTGGGCTGCTTGCTTAACATATTAGTCAGAAAGCAGGCCCTTGAAGGGCAGGCTGTAAATGCAGTGGGCAGCAAAGACATGAGTCAGCAGTACCAACAAAACGTTGATGGTCCAGAAAGCCGGCGCCTGCTCATCCGAAATGCGAGAGGCCTCGTTTGTAAGTTTGTAGACGGCAGACACGCAGAAGCAAAAGTACGTCTCCATGAAGCCACCCGCCATCAGCACCGAAATGTCCGTGAGCACCTCCGTCTGCACGCGGTTTGCACCCAAGAGCAAGCACGCTACCACCACCAAGCAGTAGGGAATCTACAGCAAAAGATGAAAATCAGTGAAGCAGTTGGGAACGCGAGAAAAAGAAAGTACATGCAAGAATGAAGCGACCCGAATCGTGGCACCGTCAGCGACCCGTTCTGCTCGTCGCAAGCGACATACGTGATAGCAAAGGCCAAGGTAGCCAAAAACGCGGAAGAACCCGGTCTCGTCGGTCAAAGTGGGCTCAATCTCGCGCCAGGCTCGTGCCAGGCTCCACTCGGAGCCGGCAGAAGCAGCAAAGCGAACGTAGATGGCGATCATGGCCAACACGAAGAAAATGGCAAAGTGGAAGTCAACGCTGGGACGACAGAAGGCATCGGCCCGACGGGCGGGGCGTGGTGTATCAAAGACCCGCTTCAAGAAGATGAGCGGGAAGAGAACGTATGGCGTGTTCAAGAACGAGCTCGGCTGCAGAGCGTGGCTGATGTGGCTGATGGTACCACCTGCCAGAAGATTGATGAGGCTGAACATCACACTGCCACACCAGTACAGGTAGACGTAGCGCCACGAGGCCGGGTTGTGCGAGGACAGGCCGTAAATCATAACCATGTACAAGAGCCAATGCGCGGTAGCGTCAAAGATGTTGGCAGCAAAGCCGTACGAGGAATTGAGGTAGCTCTCACCCGCATCCAGATACCTGAACGTGAGGAAGAAAGCCCCATGAGCAGTTCAAGGGCGAATGGATGGGAATAAAGAAAAAGGATCGTGTCCACAGACAAGGCGGCAGGACAACATACCACTTCATGACGGTTGAGCGACCATCAATCGTCAAGGCCAGCATGAGATCAACCATGGAAGTGAAGGCAAAAAGCGCAAAGAAGAGCATGAAAACGTCAAACTGGAACCGAGGCATGTGGCGGAAAATGCTGTAGTAGACCAGGATGGGAAAAGCCGTCAGGGTCACGCAGCCAACGACGGCCATGTACACGGGATCAGAGATGACCTCGGGGTGAGCATCCACTGCATAGAGAAAGGGGATCGCCAAAAAGGAGGCCATGGCACACCCGGCCGTGACCAATAGCGGGTCCATGAGCGGCTCCTCGTCCTCCTCATCGGCCTCCTCTTGCTGAGGATCAGCCGCCTGATCCGCTGCCGCCACGCGCACAGGTGTGACATGAGCCTCTTCGGCGGCATGACCGGCCAGCTGTGGAGACACGGGTTCCTCAACATCCGCAGCGCCGGCCGAGGGCTCGGGTTCCTCTTCATCGTCACTGAACAGCTGCTGTGGCGCCGCCGCGAGGTTGCCGGGCAGGGAGACGCGCAAGGGTGATTGCAGACTCTGGCGGCGTGATGTCGACCTGAGGGTCAAAAAGCCCAAAGGCGGCAAACAGGTCATTGTTCAGTTAAGGCGAAAAGCGAAAATGAAGCTGAATCGTCTGCATCGGTTGCTCTGTTCATCACAAGGCAAAGAACAATGTGTTACCCACCGGCTGCGGTAACGAAGTGGGGAAGCATTCTTAGTGATCCCCGCCAGAACTTGCGAGACAGAGTTTGGTCGACTCGGGGCAGCGGAGGCCGGCTGAGGGGTAGCCACGGTTGGCTCGGCTTCCTGAGACGTCTCATCCTCGAAACCAAGCCGTGCTGGCTTTTTGCCCAGCGTCCGCCGACGCGAGCTAGACCGACGCAGTGTGGATCAGTAAAGAGACCAAGCCCAAGCATCAGGGGAGAGAACGCGGCCGAATAGAGCGGAGAAAAACGCACCGACGCATCGCGCTCGCTGTGAGATCAGTGGGCGCGTCCATGCTGAAGGATCCAAATGCAGATGGGGTGACAGGAGAGCACTCCTTGGCGGTAGATTTGTCTACATCGGGGCGGGACGCGTGCGGATTTACGTGTCAGATATCCAAACAATTCACGAATGACGCTTCATCCTCTGCACCCCTGACTTCACGACCAGCCCTCACTAACTAAGCATTGATGCACTGGACGCCTTCTTTCCCCGATCGCCAGAGCAAGAACTCTCAAACAGCGCAACCTACCCGAATGCCCGACCAATCGACCCGCTTGTCGATCGAGCAAAAAAAATTCAACGGTCAAATGGAAAAAACGATCTCTTCATGTTAATTCTCTCTCTCTCGATCTCTCTCGATCTAAATCTCTCTCTCTGAATCTCTCTAAATCTCTCTCTCTAAATCTCTCTCTCTAAATCTCTCTCTCGAAATCTCTCTCTCGAAATCTCTCTCTCTCAATCTCTCTCTGTGCGCAACGGTTGCCTCACTGCGGCTTGGAAGCAACGAGAAGGGATTCTCTAAAACAAAGTCATTCTCCTCCTAAATCAACATAAAGTTGGAGAGGTCGTTCAAGTTTGTGGTGCGGGTAAGCAGGTGTGTTTTTTTTCTTCGATTTCGAGGCAAACGGCAGCTGGCAAGCTCAAATTCCAATGCCCGTGCACGTGGCCAGGGCCATCTTCAACCCCTTTGCTCGGTGATAGAGCGGCACCTAGCAGATTTAGGGATACTGATAGAGACACTTCTCCGAGCACTTTTCTTGCTCCGTGGTCGCCATGACGGACCAACACATGACACACGGCAGCGAGGACGGCACGCCCGAGGCCAAGCGCAGCCGCACGACACCAGGTACGTCGCTGCTTCCGAAGCAACAGGAACCCCCATCACAAGCACAATGCTATCTTTACGAAAACAGCCCCTGCCTCCGCGCCTTGGCTCTGTGGCCGGTCATACCTCATACAGCACTCACACCGCCATAGGCACCGAGCTAGGTGCTGGCAGTGAACCCAGCTTGTCTGCGTCTGCCTCTGCGCCGCATGCCCCGACCGACAAAGCGAATTCGCAGTCCTCAGCCACCCAGCCTGCGTCGAATGTCACCACGACCAGTCAGGTCAACACCTCGGGCCAACACTGCCCACCAGGGCCCAGTGCCAAAGGCGATGAGCATCAGGACGATCCCCACGATGAAGGCGAAGATGAGGACGATGAGGACGATAACGATTACAATGGAGTAGATAGCGAGGACGAAGATGGCCAAGCCGCCCAATCTCTCTTGCTTGCCTCAGGTACCACCCAGCTGCTTTCACTGTGCCCGCGGCTCTACCCATCCATTAGCATGCGCCCTGCCCTGACTTACTCCTCGGTCTTCCCACTACTTTTGCTCCGATTTGATCCTCGCCCGCCTACTCAGGCCCTGGACAATGGGTTTTAGAACAGCTGCGTCAAGGCCTTTCCTGTGCCAACATTCTTCGCCAGCTGGGCCACCAGCTGGATACCGAGGATGAGAACATCAACCTACCCCCCTTCTTCCTGGCTCAGCTAGCCGTCAAGTTTGCTGGTACGCTAGGCTATCCAAGCCTTGCCCCTTTCTCCTCACGCTATAGTTGCTACGCCTGTTGCCCTCATGCACCAATGCTCCCACCCTCCACCAGCGGGTAAGCCGAGACAGGTTCTTCTGACTGATTTTGATAAGGTGGTGGCGGCCATCCGTCAGGCCCGAAACATCATCATGGTTACCGGCGCTGGCGTAAGACCTGCCTGGCCGTGCCACCCCCATCCCATCCACAGCTTTGTGATGCCGCCGACCTTGATCTGACCGCTCAATCTCGTACCTGCTTTTGCGGTGGTGCCCTCCCTCTTGACGCAATCAGATATCTACTTCATGCGGCATTCCAGACTTTCGCTCCCCTGACGGGCTATATGCCCGTCTCAAGGTGGATTACCCTAGCCTTCCACAACCTGAGGTGTGCACTGCCCGAGCGTCCTGCTGCTCTGGCCTTGGCCATATATCGCCGTCCTCCGTGCGCTGCTGCTTCGCATGCATTCTGTACCCACACTGTACTCATGCCGGACTACCTTTTGCGCTCACCGCAAGGCTATGTTCGACATGCGCTACTTTCTTCAAAACCCACGACCGTTCTTTGATTTCGCCAAGGAAATCTGGCCCGGTTTGTTTCAGCCATCACCGAGCCATAAATTTGTCAAAGCCCTTGAAACCAGGGGTCAACTGCGACGGTCAGGCCTGTCATTCATGCACACCAACTGTCTCGGCGCCTTTCTTCTCGCCCTGATATTCTCAAATGACGGACCAATTTTGGCCATGGGATGTTCTAGAGACTACACGCAAAACATTGATACCCTTGAACAGGTGGCTGGCATCTCCAACATTGTGCAGTGCCACGGCTCCTTTAACACAGCCTCATGCATTCTGTGCAAGCACCAGGTATGTTGGACATTTTGCCCATTGACCCAGCATGTTGCGGTACCTTCGGACCATCGGTTTGACATTAGACTGACACACCCGTGCGTGGCTTGGCATGGTTTCTGGCTTAGGTTACGAAGGAGGCCATCCGTGACCAAGTCTTTGCCGGGCAAATTCCCTTGTGCCCCAAGTGCCCCACTCCCGCCCGCTCCCTCGAGTCCATCCTTCGACAGACAGCACGCTCTCAAACCCTGCTTCAAGAATATAACAACCGAATCGCAAACGAGGAGAGCGAGAACGAGGAGAGCGACAGTGACGAGGACCCAGACAATCAAAGAGATGGCGACACGATCAGTGAGGAAGAGCCAACAGAGACCTCAGCACCCCCCGCCGAGCCCCAACCCTCAGGTGCTCAGCATGAGGATAGCACGCCGCGAGGCTTAGACAGCGCCACCACCTCACCCACACGACAAACCAACGCACCCGCACCTGACGCCAGTCGCCCAGCCACATCTGCAGCGTCGGCACAAACTGGTGCCGATACCCCATCAGCAACAGCCTCGGGCCCGACGGTTGCATCCTCACACCCACGGGGGCCGTGTGCGCTCGATGATCAGGAACAACCCGTCGTCCTTCCAGATGGGCGTACCCTGCCCGTCTGGGAGGATACACTGCTCCATCACCGTGTGCCGGTTCTCAAGCCAGACATTACCTTTTTCCGCGAGGATTTGCCGCAAACATTTTACGGTGAGTGCGCGAGTGCGAGCCTGCGCGTGAGCATACACGTGCCCTTCCGCTCACTTTGGCTCCTCTGTTGCACTCGTGCAGAGCATCTGGAGAGCGATCTGGACGTCTGTGACCTAGTCATTGTCATGGGCTCCTCGTTACAAGTGCAGCCCGTGTCGCGAATCCCAGATGTAGTAGACGACAGTGTGCCGCAGATTTTGATTAACCGAGAGCCACTCCGGCATGCCGAGTTTAGTGCTGAGCTCTTGGGCTCGTGCGATGAGATCACCACCGAGCTTGCACACCGGCTGGGTTTGACCGAGATGCTATCCCCAACAACACGCTCCGAGCCAAAGATTCGCAGCACTGATAGTGACTTGCAAGACTCAGTCGCTGCCCTTCTTGATGGCGTGCGCACTTGGGATGGCCAAGCCGTCGAGTACCGACGACCACATCGCTTCCTATTTTCACAAGGAGATCAGACTGCCTTGGCCAAACGCGTCCAACGCGATGAAATGCGAAACGTGCTCATCACCTTCTCGCGCAACGATAGCGGTGACCACGCTACTACAGCTGCTGTGCCCAAACCTGCGGCGTGAGGTTTGGTTCGACGAATTCAGATGTGCGACCCAGGATATCATCTTTCTCGGGATAGCCTTTCGTGGATCAACGGTTGGGTGGGATTGGGGCTGCACGTCTTGGTGGTTTCAAATCAAATTGAGCAGTTTTACCTCACATTTTGAAGCAAGCAAGAGGCTTGGCTGGACCGCGCCTTCCTTGTCGTATTCCATTCCCAAACGACGGTGGCCCCTGGTGTTGAAACTTGCATTTTGTCGTGAGTGTGAGCCACTGTGCTGAACAGCAGCCTTCTCCTAATTCCTGTGATTTCAAACAAGATAACCTCCCCTCTTGCTTTTTCTTCCATTTCTCAATAATTTTTTCAAAATTTTTGGGGTGTTTTTTGCTCTCTTTAAAACTTCCGCGAGAGTTACCAGCAGCCGCCTTTTTCCGATGAAGTCATGGCCATTGTGCGTGTACGTCTGTCCTACACCACTTGCAGTTTGCACACACACACATACACAGGGCTCCATACACACATACACATACACACACGTCAACCATCACATATCCGCAGTTGGGCCATCCAAGTAATCACCCATCCTTAAAGCTCGACTTGATGAGTGTCGGTTGTTTGTTTTGAAGTTGAGATTCAATTGGTTGTCAATAGTAGGTCGAGCAATATGACACACACACAACTCTTCATGAATGACGAATGATGTCGGGGCTCGTTGGCCCGATTTGATTGCGCGGAACCCTTTGGACGAGTCGCCATACAACCACGCACCAAAAAGGAACGGAACCACCGCCACACACACAAACACACACCCATTCCCATTACAGCCGACAGAAAGCATGCGAGAAATGGGATGGGCGTAATAGAGACTATTCACAACAGGATACAACTACAGCTGGTTTTAGAAGGCAATTACTCGGGCAACTCTCAAGGTGATCATGGGCAACCCATGAAACAGGTATAATGGTACAGAATGGTGTCTTGAAAAGCAACCAGGTCAAGCGAGAACGAAACGTCCGCTTGTCTGGCTTATTCAAAACACCATGTCTTGACCACCTTGCATGGCAATGTAATCGCCATTCTGAAACCGTGCAGCAACACGGTCCAGCTCCATTCTGTAGCACAGCAGGGCAAGGGCGGGTAAGTGAGGAGAGTTGACATCCTGACCCCAAACATGGCGGGAAACATGCCGAAGCACGAGGCGAGCGAGTCATGGACGTACTGGTCATCCAAAATGGATTTCAGCTGATCACCGATGATCGACAGGCGCTCATTGACGCTCTCCGAGGCCAGCAGGGCTTGCGGCACCGAAGATTCGGGTGACACCAAGCCACGCAGCTGTAGTCACCACCAGATGAATGAGAGCGGCACAGACGCGGGCATGCAGCTGAGGTCATCCGCTCCTAAACGTGGCATGAGAACGCGAGGTGCATACCTGCATAGCCGCCCAGAGGGAGAAAACAGACGGTCCTTGTTTGAACATGTATTCGAGACGATCTTCAAATTGGCGACGCTGGATGGCCTTGGCGCTGAAGGCGGTATCCGTTTTCATTTCGACGTACGAAAGCAAGAAAGACTACACACTCAAGATTCAACATGATTGCAACGTGGTGAGCAAGTCAAGCCATCCTCACCCAACTAGCAAGTAGCAGACCAGATGGTTCATGGTATATGGTGCAGCATACCTTGACAACCAGAGCTTGTCGGGATGCTTGTCGCGCCGCATCCTCCTCCAAGGGGCAATCTGCCGGGCCAAAACACCGGAACAACATCAGCATGACGGGACAGCGAAACATCACGAAACAGACATCCATAATAGGAGCATCGGTGCCAGACGAGGCGACACACCGTCATATGGGAGGGCGTCGACACGCCAGAGGCCATGGCGGTCACGAAGTGGATCTTGAACAGCAAAGCGCGAAAGGCCTTCGACATGAATGACAAGGTGGTCGCCTCGGCGCTCATAGCCACAAAGTTGGGCAATGGTTCCCACTGTGGCGCTTCGCCAAGAAGTGATGCTGCCATCCTCTGGCGTTTCATCTGACAGCTTGGCCAAGCCAAACTTGCCATCAGTTTCGAGCAGCTCATCCACCAATAACTAAGATGCGGTTGAGCAGCGTCAAAAAATACATAACCAACAAACCCAAGAAGCTGTGTCGCCAACAGGTTGGAACAATGGGCTACTCACGCGGTAGCGAGGCTCAAAGATGTTCAGCTTGGCCTGTTCGCGGGGATATACAACGTGTGGAAGAGGAAAGACAGGGAGTTGCTAATGACAGCATGCAGATACACGATGAGCTTGGCACGCACCCAATTGTCAAGTCCGCGGAAGAGTTCAAGGACAGAAAAAAAAAAAGTCCAAGAAGCCAAGAACCAGCCAGACCGAACATGTTTTCGCGTGTCGTGCATACATACCATGATTTGCAGAGGGAGGGCCGTCTCAACTGAGTACAGGCGAGTGGCCACGGGCGAGGAGGCCACGCGAATGGATCGAGACACGGCCGCACGCAACATGACGGGTGGTCGTCGACGTCCAAAAAAAAAAAAAAAAGGCTTGCTAAATGCGGCTTGAAAAAGTCGGTCGAAATGGCAGGGACCAAGCACACGGCGCACCACACAAGGAAAAAGGGCAGGAAAAAAATGACAGCCCAAAGACCATCACCCGGCAATCACAACCCCAGCCCAATCAACCCCCGCCCCCAGATAAAGCCAAGGGCCCAAGTAGCGCCTTCGAGTCGGTCTCAACCTCAAGGGGTCCTCCAAACAGAGAGAGAGAGCGAGCGAGCGAGAGAAAAATAGCTTTGTTGACGGGGGAGAAGGGTCTTTTGTTGATGCCGTTGAGGATGAAGAGGGTTAGGGAATAATAGGGAGGAGATGGTGAAGAAAATTGAGTGATGTATAAGAAAATAGTTATAAATTGTGATGAGATGTTGTAGGTAAAGTGGCGGTTCGTGCATCTTCTGCGGCTAGAATGATAGTGCACACTAAGTCTTTGTTTCCCCAAGTTACAACACAAAGCCATTGTTGTAAAATAGCTGACAATGACACAGAAGGCGAACTCAGTGAGATGCAATTTCATCACCTCTGTGTTTTTCACAGGTTGTTGTGGTTCAGTTTGAAAGATGTAGTCAGTATTTGAGTTTATGTCGCTGAGGCGGCTTCCCATTACAACGTACTGGTCAGGGTTGTTCAGGTTCTTGTCGATGATGGGTCACCTCTTGCAGAAGTTGAAACACAAAATTTTATTTTTTATTTTTTATTTTCACGGGTTGAGTAGGAAACGCGCGCCCCGACCCGAAGACGACGGACGGCCAGAGCTTACCTCAGCGACGGCGCCAGTCAGCTGCGGGGCGTGGCTCTGCCAAAGGCTTGTCATATTGGCGCGTTTGCTCCCTTGCTGGGGTTGGGGGCCCGATCAGCCGCCATGCCGCCCTTGCAAGCCACCATAGATCGACTTCGTGCGTACCCTTGCCCAACTTTCCCCGCTCGTGCACCTTGATTGCGTTGCCACTTGTGAGCTCACTTGGAACGTGTGGACCAGAGGATGAGGTGATTGAAGCCATTGTGGAGCAGTGTATGGTGCATGGCGATGCGCTTCATGCCCTCCGCAACAATTGGCATGCCTGGTTTGGGGGTGAAACACCCCCGGCCTTGCTTGATGAGCCTGAGCTCAGTCGAGACGAACTGCGCCAAATCGTGGCGCGCAGCAGCTGGGTCCGACCTCCGATTCAGCCGGTTGCAAGCACAGCAGGGGCCACAACCTCCACCAACGTCGTGCTTGGCCGCCGCGTGCGGCCCCCCGAGCCTCACTTGCCAACCCTGATTGTTCATCTCCTTTTTGCCCGAATCAGTGATCTTGAGGTAGCCAATGCGGCTCAGCATGAGGACCTTGAGTTTCGAAACAAGGAGCTTGAGGTGCTACGTGAAGCCTTGCGACGCGCCGAGACCCTGGCCGATGAGCAGTTGGCGCAAGCTGACCAGCATATCGCTGACACCAAGGTCCACCCACCCACGCATGTCCCAAGCTCTTGACTTTCGCACCGACTGAGACGGATATAACCATTTGATGCTCAGACTCAGTCCCCTTCGCACCCGCCTACCCCCGCCCATCTGCCCGCATCTCATAGGCAGAGCTGGAGGAAATTAGAGAGCGGCAGCTACGTGAGGTTCAACAAGAACGATTGACTGAAGTAAAGCAGCTTCGTGGAACCATCGAGATGCTCACGGCCAATACCAAGCGCCTGACAGCCGAAGTTGAGGACCGTGATGCCCAGCTGCGTGCGCTGCGCGAGGAACATGCCGAGTTGACACGGCTGGCTTACAACCCTGGCCACAGCAGCCCAACTGCGGCTGCGGCTGTTCATTTTGAGCTCGCCACGCAAGCTAGGGCTCAGGCCCAGGACGAGGCTGCACGCCTGCGCCGAGAGCTCGAGGATGTTCGGGCCTTACTTGAGACCAAGGATCAGACCACGCGCCAACACATTCAGCAACTATCGGAAAAAAACGTAGGTCCTCATTCCACCCCTCTCCCCGTATTCAAGCCGGTAGACCCCCGTTAGCCAGGGTGAGAGCTAGCTCGCGACAAGCGGCTTTCCTGATTGTGCCTCCTCTTTTTTAGACGTTTATCACAGAGCTGCGTGCTCGCGTGGCAGACCTAGAATCGGATGCCTCAATGCGCCAAGTGCAAGACGATGCAGCGCCGACACTCGCCGCCGAGCTCCTAGAACATGAGCGGCAGGTCCGCGAGAGCCAGGCTCAAGCCGATAGCGACAGCGATGCTGCTACACGGCGCTCTCAACGCGCTTCACCCCTTGTGGGGCTGACACCGGCTGTGGATTCAGCAGGACCGCCTGAGTCCCGATCGACGAGTGCGGACAACATGCGCGACAGCATTGCTGCCATGCATCTCCAAGCGTTGGAAACGCAGGTCGCGCAGCTCCGGCGTCATCGCCCTTCTTCTGGGGGCGGCGGTTCCGGAGCACGCTCGTCCCCGGGGCGACAAAATTCCAACTTGGATCCCAATGCCCCCGAATCCCCGGTGCTCTTCCGTCCACGTGCTTCTTCAGTTCGTGAGGCTGAGATGCGTGAGCTTGTGCGCACGGGCCACCAGGCTGAGCTACGCAATTTACGCTTAGCATCAGAGCAGGCCGACGCTGCTGCACGCCTTGAAACCACTGTTCAAACGCTCGAGCAGCAGCTGGCAGAGCAAAAGGCCATCAACACTCGTCTGCAGGCTGAGCACGCAACACTGAACGAACGCCTTGCTTTACTTGAAACAGAGCTCACCATAGAGCAGGCACGTACATCGGCATACCGCGAACAGTGTGACCAAGACATGGCACGCTTCATGCAACGGCATCAGCGCGGGGAGACTCTCACCTGGTCCATGCCGCGGGCGATGGCGCATCATGCGGTGCGAGGAGCCTCACCACCTAGATCACCGTCACCTCTAACACCACAGGCTGGCGCGAGTCTGCAGACTTTAGGCGATGCCAAGGGCTTGGGTTCCGATCAGCACGGGCTCCACGATTGGCCAACCGCTTCGCTCAAAAAAGAGTCAGTCGCCAGTTATCACTCGGGCCACCGGCTAGAAGACGGCCGTATGACACCTGACAAGCCAGGCGTCCCAGCCCAGGCCTCGTATGTAGGCGCCAAAGCCGGCGCAGCCACCAGCGAGGCACGCTTGGCTGCATTGCTTCAGGAATATGGGTTACCAACGGGCGCCCCTGGTTCAGCGTGACACCATGTGCTGCACGGGGCGGTTGTACTGACACAATGAATTGATGCGTATAGCTTTCAAACAGGGATGTGTGGGAGTGTGCACACGGTCAATTCTATTTTCCAATATCATGGGGCTGGTCAGCAAAAGCGGCCTCAAGCACCTGCCAGTCTAGCAATCGTTTATGCAATTTTCGCTTCTAACAAGATGACGAACCGACGATTGCCTAACCATCAACCGGCAGCAATCATCGTGCCAACGAAAATCAAACACATGTCATGCCAAAGTTGAAAGAGCGGCCTACCAGCCGCCAACAGACCAGTCATCAGCCTGCGCGGCTGCCTTCTTAAGCTCGTCCGCTACCGCACCAGGGGTGGCCTTCTTCTTGCTACTTTTGTGCTCAGTCACGGCAAGAGCCCCGCTGATCACAGGCACGGGCTCTGCGGTGTGCGATCGGGGCACACGTCCACGTGACTGAGCATCGGATGGCTTGCTTGGTTTGGTCGCATTCGCTGACGTGGATGCATCGCGATGAGTCGACGTCGTAGTGGCCTTGTTAGCGGCGGAGCGATTGGGTTTGCCTTTTTCTGTTCTGCTCGAAGGTTTGGCCGCCGCGTCTATGCGAGATGGGGCTGACTTGCCACGCTTAGCCGGCGGGGCTTCGTCAGATGAAGGTCTCACTTGCTTTGCACCCGTATCCCGAGTTGCTTGGCGAGAAGATGTCCGTGGTTTGCTCAGCGCCTTTGGTTCGGAAGCTGACTGGGTCGATGCCTTGGCGTGCTCACGTTTGCCCGCAGATCTCTCACCATTGACTTTGTTTGAGCCTTTGCCTCCTGAATCCTTGTGTGCCTTCCTGCTTGCGGGTTTGCCTTTGACCTTGCCCGGCGCCAGTGCTCGGCGGCCTTTCTTGGGTTTAGCGAGGTCATCGTCATCCGAGTCCATATCCGTGTTCTTGGCCGGGGCATCTAGCCGCTGGTTGTCCAAGATGCGCAGGCCTTTGCACAAACGAGTGACCTGATCACAGATACCAGCCCATTTGGTGCGTGAGAAGCAAACGGGCGGAACGAGCGGCAGACCCGGCGCAAAGGGAAAGGAACAGTACACAAACCTGTTCGCGGTATTTGAGTAGTTCGGCGACGGGATTATTCTTGAGGTTGAGGTTTTGCAAGAACTTGAGCTTGCTGAGAACATTGACATATCTACCAGAGCACTCAGTGTGAGGCACAGGACTCAAGGAGGCTCGTCAAGCCAAGGGCGAGTGTGGCAGGCCGGCATCGTACTTGAGCTCCTTGACTTTGTTATGGGCCACGTCCAAGAGGCACAAGCTGATGGTGGCATGGTATGGGCGGAGGCGGCGGGTGTGAGGCAGAAAACGGAACAGTCGGCAGGGCATCCGTATTGAAGACACTCACTGCGGGCAGGCAGCAAGAGAGTAGGGCACTTTTTGCATGGCATTGTGATTGATTCGGCACTCTTTCAGATGGGTGCACTGTGGGGGGCGTGGTTGCGAGGATTAGGGTTAGAGCGTCATTGTCGACTGAGCGCACGCAACGCGGTCAAGGGAATTCGGCGCATTGAAGAGCGGAACGGCTTACATGGAGGTGAGGCAGTGCTTCGAGTTGATTGTGAGCGAGACCCAGCTTGCGCAGCTTGACGCAGTGGCGCAACGCATCTTCCTCCACGGTAGCCAGTTGGTTATGAGACAAGACTGCGACCAAACAAAATCGAGCCGTGATCAGCTGAGCTTAGATTGCGCGGCGAGGCCAGAAAGGGCTCTGCCTGGCGCCGGTATAAGCCGTCATACCAAGAGCATCGAGTTCGGCGGCGTTATCCAAGCCCGAGATGTGTTGAATGTTGTTGTTGTTGAGCACCAATGCTTTGAGGGCGGGAAAGTGAATGATGACATCCATGCTGGTGATGCGGTTGTAGCCCGCGTTGAGAGCTGTTGAGAACCGCGGAAGGAGGGGGTGTGATCACGACAAGAAAAAAAAATGAAACGAGCAGAACCAGAAGCAAATGAGTGCCAACATCCATGGGCCCAAGAGGGCATAACACGTCTCCATCTTTTCCGGCTAGGCGACGCACTAATCAAGTTGTGAAGGGGCTCGAGTGCAGCCAGCGACTCGACGCGATTGTGGGCCAGGTTCAGCCAAGTCAGCGCCGTCAGCTGGCCTAGGCGTGCGTGGGAATGGGACCGGAAAGCATCCAAGAGAAAAACAACAACACAGCAGTTGATTGAGCACGGGGTTGAGACACGTTGACAGCAAAAGGAGAGAGCGGGGAAGAAACAGCAGTTGATGCAAGAGGTCGTGTGTGCTGCAGGGCGCGCGCGCGTGTGTGTGTGTGCGTGTGTATGCTTGCGGAATGGGGATAACTGGCCAACAAGGTGCCAAGCGCAGTGCCAGCATACCAAGTGCGGTGATATCTTGAAGCTCGTTGTGGGCCAGGTCAAGGCGCCGCAGCATGACGAGACGCCTACGAGGCCCCACGACCGAGGTCAGACACACGATAGGAGCCCATGTGGCGGGGGCACACACGACAGCGCCATACCCAAGATTGTTGTTAAGGCTGTCATAACCACGTCCACTTAGCTGGAGAGCCGCCTTGCTAATGGCCTCCTCCTCTGTCTCGACGCAGTCGGGGACCAGACTCAGCTCCATGGTGTCGGTCCTTAAAAAGTTGTCTGAAGAAGTGGCTGAGAAAAAAAAAAAAAATTGAATGGTTGTCCAACACGTGTGTGTGTTTGTGTGCAACAGGATTTTGGGAGCTTTTCGTGTGGTGTGTTTGAGTAAATCTCGTGGATAGAGAATGCAACGCTCTCTTGCGGATTGGAAACGAGTGTCAAGCAAAAAATTCGATTAGGGACTCTTGATAAGAATATTGAGCTACATCTTTACATCTTGCTGTTGTGGTACACAAAAAACATAAAACAAGCTTTCTGGTCAAGCAGGAATTGAAGCGCACCAAAGAAAACAAAACAAGAAGGAGAGGCTAACGCAAATGGTAAATGAAAGCATCACACACGAAGCAAGCCGGCATCCACTCTATGTGCCGCTGAAGCCATCCTGGTGTGTGTACACATCACCATCGAAATAGGAGTAATAAACAACAAAAACAGCGATTGCATCGCACTTTGGCAAGCAAGAGATTCGACTACCCAGCCCCATCATTGAGCGAGGTGGAGGTTGATTTGAATGGGAAGCACAGCCGCGGCGGTCTTGGAACGCTTGGAGGTGGGTTCCCCCAGGTTCAGTGTGTGGGAGCCTTGAATGGTTTGAAGGAGAGCTGCCAGCTGTGGAGCCGACTGCAGCGCCAAGCGAAGCTGTTGGACTTGTTGCCGCTCAGCGGCCAGTTGTTCCTCTAGGTGGGCCAGGCGCTGGTCGCGCTCGCCCAGGTCCTCTTCTAGATCAGTCACTTTGCTCTCGAGTTCAGCAATGTACGCCTTTTTCTTTTCGCGGTTGAGCTTGGCCATGCGCGCATTGTGGTTGGGATCACGGCTGTTTTCACCATGATCAGGGCTTGAGACTTGCTGCTGCTGTGCGGCTGCGACGGCGCCTGGGCTGCGACGCTTGGCAGAGGCCCGGGATGAAGCTGGAGCCGTGGAAGAGGACTTGGCACTCGTACGGCGAGCGGCGACGGGCTTGGATGGGGTCGCGTTGGTGTTGCTGGCGGAGGGCCGCGGCTGCGTGTGAGCGCGAGTGCGGCGTGCAGGGGGTTCACTCGTATCAGAGTGCGCGACAGTGACACTACTCACACTGCTCTGATCCTGATCCTCGTCATGCCCTGTCAAGCCTGGGATGACTTGATCCGGTAGCGGTGCGGATAGGACGCTGTGTTCAGCCACAAGTGAGCTGAGCGTGAAAGCAAGATCCTCCTCCTCCGGCAAAGGACACGACACGTGATCGTCTTGCACGCGATGCTCAGACACGGGCATGGCACCAACGGTGCTGCCTTCGAGGCTTACAGCCGGTGAGGATGCTTTCATGGGGGGCTTGAACAGTTCGTGACCAAAGCTGTCATCCATGTCCATGCTGGAAGGACCCACATACTCGGACGGCACGGCATAGGCGTGGTGGGAAGCAGCTGCAGTCACTGAGGAAGGCTTCACGTCGCTGAGAAGCGTCGATCGGATGCCATCGTGAGCAAAAGCACGCTGATGGTGAAGCAGGTCACCCTCCTCATCCTCCTGCTGCAGAGCCCAATCCGAGGCGTGATTACCGGAGTAGACACCACTGTGGTGGTGTGAGCCGCTGGCGCTGTCGGACACAGCTGTCAGCCCAAGAGAGGCGTCCAAGGGCTCAAAGCCACTGAGGCGGGCGGTGGCGTCCGACTCCATGTCAACGTAGCTTGACGTCGAAGACGCCGAAGCCAGAGCCCAATCCTCGTCGAGCGACAGGTCGTCGTCGATATCGAGCTGACGCAGCACACGCGAGGTCAGCACACTCATGATGAGGTTTCGCAGAAAAAAAAAGCCAAGAAGCTTCGGTGACGCCTTTCCAAGTCAAGCAGGTGGTGCAGCACCACCGGCCAAAACAAGGGCGCACAAGAACAACAATTTCTGCTCAACCAACTCAGGAGCTGCCACAGACAGAGACGAAGAAGCCGAAGAAGAAGAAGAAGAGCAAGAAAGGGTTTCTTTCGATCCAGGGGCTCACCAGGGCAAAGAAGAGGTGACGAGCTTGTCGAGCTGAAGAAAAATGCACATTGGGTATCACATGAATGCTATTTGGGCTTGTCCGTTGCTTGCGTGTGGGGGGCTACCCTTGCATAACCGGTTTGCTTTGTACAGCTAGCGACAAACCGGTTTGGCGGGAGCGCACATGTAAGCCCGACTTGAATTGGCATTGGCTGATTTTTCCAGGTAAAGCGATTGACATTTTGCAAAAATTGTCAGGCAGATTGATCAACGTCAAAAAACGTCACAGCGACACATTTGTACAAACGTCGACCAACGTTCAGGCGGGGGGGGGTTTGGAAGGAGCGAGATATAGTTTAGATAAGAGGGTCATACGCAGATTCCATAATATAAAATTGATGACAAAAGGGTTTCCTGCTGCCTTTCGACGAACCGAGTTGTTCACCGGTGCAAGGGGCGATCAGGCCCGACAGTAGCCTGGGTGAACGCTACAGGCTTGTTGTTGCCGCTGGCTTTGCTGCCGTCCGCTCCTGGACCCCAAACCTTACATCCAATGGTCATGAAATATCATAAGTGTGCCTTCCCGCGCACACAACTCGATGCTACAGAAAGTGCAGCTTGCGGCTTCAAAAATGCAAGGGGGGTCCAGCCCGAAATCGGATCGTCGTTCTAGTGTCGCGACGCTCTTTCCACCGCCTACTGCCCTTCACAGGCTTGCAGTTGCTGGCGAGAAAGTTGTCGCCCATACTCATATAATTGAATGTCCAAGTCGTTTAGCTCAAATAATCGGGCCTGCCATTCAGCGTCGATGTCATTGTGCCATGCGAGGTCAGATGCACCGCGACTGTCGCGAAAGTGTGTTTTAGTCTGCCTTCTCCACCCATAATAGCACTCAAGCAGCTGGTCGCGTTCGGTCGGAGCCTCAAGAATGAACACAATAAAGTGATCCAGCACTTGCTTAGCCAGCTCAAGATGTGTGTGGTTGATGTGGCCGAGCGGGAGCCCATACACCTTCGAGCCCAGCAGACTGCGAATGATATAGTTGTTGACTGTGGCAGATCCAAACCCAACAGTCTTCATTTGAATGTTGTGAAAAGTTTCCTCTCGGGACTTCTGAATGTTATCGTTTCGAAATTTGTTGTTGAAGTTGATATGTGAAGCCATTCGTTTCATGGGGTGCCGGAGTTGGATGCCAAGGAGCATGGTATCGTCGCATTTGAGCATGTGCTGGTTGAACACGTTTTCAGTCTGAAAGTAAGTCGCAGGTCCAATGTGGGCAAGGCGATCTTGACAGTCGAAATTCTCATTGTAGAGGCCGCCCGGGCCGCCCGTGCCAGCCGGGTGATCACCCGGAAAGTTGCAGTTATTCATGCGAAATTTAGGCGCAACCGTTTCCTCGTTGAGCGCCGCGTCGTGACAAAACCACGTACCACCGCACTTGTGCAGGTGAAAATGGTAAATGACGCGGTTTCTTCGGAAGGAATTCGCACTCGTGGCCGAGCAAGCCAGTCCAATGGTCAATGCAACCAACGTCGCTACGTTGTGGGCCGAGCGAGGCAAGATCATAGCTGAGAGTCAAGGGCCAGCACGGTGGTAAAGGCTGACACACTTCCAAGACTTGGCACCAATGTGTGGTTGCTACGCGAGCGATCAGTTGTTCGGGCACCAGTGGATGCAGAGGGCTGCGCTGGTTTGTGCCCCTTTGGTGTGAAAATAAGCGCCACACTTGGTAACGCTCATAAAAGTTTTGAATGTACATATGTCATATTTTTTTGAAGTGGCTGCTTTGAGTTGCTTCTCAGCGACTGCTCTGGCATACTGAGGACTGAGCAAGAATACAAGGTCTGAAGCCGCGAATCACTCACAACGTATGGCTGCTTGACACCAGCGACTTTGAACAAAGGCGCCTTGCTCCTCATATCCACCCGAGACACTGACAGAAACAGAAAGTCTATGGCTCATTTGGGAAGAAAGACCTGATGTTACGGAAACCAGATGAGAAAGTCGAGAGTCAGTTCTAGTCAATTTCTGAGTGGGTTGCTTCCTTAACGATGACTTTTGCCCATCTCGCTCGATATCAATGAGCGGCGTTGTACTCGCGAATGTGATCTTGGACACTCTCAAGCATCTGCTCCGCTGTCATGTTTTGGCCGTAGTAGGCTACAAAGTGGCCTTCTGGATCCATCAGATACTGGATGATGGAGTGATCAACCAAATAATCTTCATCACCATCTACCTGGGGCCGTGAGTAGTAGACACGAAACTTCTTGCAGATGTGCTTAATTTGCTCGTGCGTTCCCGTCAAACCCAGCAACCGCGGATGAAACTCTGCACCCCATGATCATCGGCAAAAGCGAATAAGATCTTCAATGTAGAAAAAGAAAAAGACCAAATCAACACCACAGAGACAGAGACGGAGACAGAGACGGAGACAAAGATACGCACACAACAAAAATAAAAGAAGCAACAACCAACAACAGGGATGAAGGTCACATCAGCTCTTTGTCAAGCCGAAGAAGGGGCAGCAGACAACGTACGTTCAACATAGGCTTGAATTTTGGGAAGCGTGTCGCGGTCTGGGTCCACTGACACGAACAGTGGCTGGATCTTGGGCAGTTTGCTTTGGGCGTCTGCCAGCGCAACATCACACAACAGCAAGTTCAGCCGGTCGGGTCTGCGAACTGCAGCCAGCTGTTTCAAATTAAAACAACAAAACAAAGCGCGCGCAGCCGTACCAAGGTGGTTGATGACCTCAGCCATCTTGTCCAATTCTTCCGGGCACACATCGGGGCAAAAGGTGAAGCCAAAGTAGAGGAGGTGCCACTGGCCCAAAAAGTCGGTGTTGTGCCGCTTCTCCCCTAAAAAAGCGGCAATCAAACCCCACCAGTCAGTTGAGCCAGCGCGAAGCATCTTTGCCAGGCGGCTCGGCAGGCACTTACCATGCATATCTGTCAAGGTCCAATCACCCCCGAGCGCCGACTGCCCTACTGAAGACGTACGTTGCTTGGCGCGCACTGCCACGCCATTTGCCTGTGAGCGAGCGCTGCGTTCCTGCCTCTACTGCTCATAAGCCCACTAGACTCGGTGCAAGCCAATGTCCACGGCCCGACAGCCACCCCACCCCCCACCATTCCATCTCGTACCTTTCTCCACGCGCTGGCGTTCATGATCAAAATAGTAGACAGCGGCGCCTCCAAGACCCAGCATGACGGCCAAGGTCGTCCAGCTAATGGGCTGCGCAATGACGTCGTTGTCAGCTCTACTGGCTACTAACACCACTCGATTACGATAGCAAGGTGCCCCGGCAGAACATACCCCACCGCGGCCAACATTGCCGCGAAGATTTGGCGTAGGTGGTTGTTGTGAGGGCTTGGGCGCGGTTGAATAGGCCGCGCTGGGACGAATCCGCAGGCGGGGTACCCAAAGGGATGGGCGTGGCAGCGTTTGGGCCAGAGCCCTCGCGGCGGAGGACGTGCCTAAGGCACGCGATAAAGCTGCTGTTGCAACAGGTTGAAGCCGCATGAACCTGCAGCGCACACTTTCACGCATGTTTTGAGGATGGGGGCTTGGCCATTGGGCTCACCTTGCAGCATGCTTGTGGTGACCAAAGTAGGCTGCAAACACAAAAGGCAGCGCGGGTCGTACACAGGGTCGAGTCGAGTCGAGTCAGCAAGTTCGAAAAAAAAAAACAAAAAACGGGAACAGGATGAGATGCGTCACACAGTGACCCCCAAAAATTCAAACCACACAAGTATCACCAACAAGAAGAAGAAGAAGAAGAAGCGTAAATGCACACACAGGTAGCAAAGGCCCAGCCCCTCCCTTCAAGCGGTCGCGGGTCGCCGCCGGAGCCTCACTCGTCACCTCGTCTCGCCGAACGACACACGTTTGTCTTTGAAGCTTTCATCACCTTGCACTCCTTATAAGTCAAAGGGACACGGACAGACAGACAGACCAATTAAATCTGACATTTGGACCAATGGGGGTCGGTGTGTGCCTAGTGGCTAATTTCTGACCCCATTTGGTTAGCAACGTCGGGCTCTGCTCCTGCTCGAGACCTGACACCGCGAACGGTGTTCAGCTCACAGCACCGCCACCGCAATTTGTGGCTTCGCTGGATTTTCTGCAAGCCCAGCGTGCTAGATCTGACCGGTTGACTCTGTGCTGGACGTCAGTGGACGCCGCCAATTTGTGCGGGAACCACACGCAGCACCTCGTGCTTGCCGGCAAGAGCATCTCGAAATCAACAGCACCATGACCGAGCCAGAGCCAGAGCCAGCCGTCCCTTCATCTGCGGACACTGCGCCGGTGTCGCAGCCCGCGGCGTCCGCATTCAATGATGAGGTTCCGAGCGGGTCCCCGAATTTTGATAGCATGGCCTACCGCTGCGCCGATCGGATCAAGGCCGTCGCAACCCATCCCGTTGCGCGTGTTCTCATCGTGGGCCCTGAAGTACGCACTTTGCACCAGCTTTGGACGATCCGTCCATGCGCGGCGGCACTCACCTCTCCTACCCGGGACTGACACTCGTTACCGCTACACCATTACTCACACCTTGCCCGTCATCTCCTCGGTTTTGTCTCTAGGCCGTACAACTGGAGCGCGTGACCCGCGCGCTGGCGGCATACTACAAGGCTGAGTGTCTAGCACCGCGCACACTGCTGCAAGCAGCCGTCCGTGGTCAGTCCTTCATGCCTACGCTCAACCGTTGCTTCACTTGTCAACTTCCTCGGCCAACTCCGCCACGCATTTGCCGCTCGCTCATTCGACTGCGCTGCTAAACAATCATCCAACACGAATGTCTTTCTTGCCATGGGGGATACGACACTGCAGATGCCCGCAGCGCGGTACGGCGTCAGCTACGCGAGGCACGACGGGCCAAGAAAAAGGCCGCTCAAAATGAAGAGGCCAACGGAGAGACTGAAGGCAATGACGAGTCCAAGGAGGCAGATTCTGGTGCTGAAAACCAGGCGGCTGACGATGACGATGAGGATGATGAAGAGAATGACGACGAGGAGCAGCAGGACGGCGGTGGTGTCAACGAAGATGACGACGATGATGTTGACGATGAGCATCCTGACGCACATTACTACAAGTTTCGCATGCGTCCCGTCGAAACGGCATCACCCACGGTGCTGGAAGCTTGGCGCAGCCTTTCTCTCGGCCAGTCGGTGGCCCCTGTACTCATGGATACGCTCTTGAGCGAGCGTTTGACTTCGGATCGTGTCGACTTTCGTGGTTTTGTTCTCTCATGCACCTATCATGAGGTTGGACACCACCTGCGCCTTTTGCAGGAGGCCAAGCAAACCCTCACCACCGTGGTCGTGCTCCGTGCCATCGGCGAGCACTTTGACGTCCTCTTCAACGGCGCGTGTATGGATCCTCTCGCTGGCAAGTACTATGGCCTTCTTGATCTAGGGCGTTCCAATTCAGCGCAGAGCTCTGAAGCCGCAGATGCCGAGGAGAGTGCCGACGAGGACGAGGACGAGGATCCTGACAATGATGGGCAGCCCGAAGAGCTAGTGACGCCCAGCTTCCGCTCTATGCCTGCGCTCGTCAGTCCTTCAAAGGAAGAGCAGCGTGGTTTTGTCGCAGCCTACCACAACCACAAGCCTGCTCCTACGCTCACAGAGCTCCAGCAACTCGTTGATCAGCTCGCAGCCCTTGTTCAGGCTCCTCATCTTCTCCAACTTCACGCTGACTTGGATACGGTGACAGCCGTCAATGCCATCGAGGTGCGTTTGAAGCCCCCGAGCAGCTTTGAAATTCATCACTAGGCCACACAGCCAATCGGCCTGGCTTGCTGCGTTTTCTCCTGGCTCGCGCTCACCAGCCTGTTGGCGGTCCATGTATACATATGCAGCGCTTTTTGCGCCACCAGCAGCTCCGCCCCGTCATCGAGGCCATCCACATTCCCAACGATGACACTGAATGTGCGCTTTGTTTTGCCCGCGTTGTTTGCTTCAGATGAGGGCCTCCGTACCGAGTGCTCTTCCAGCGTGTGGTTGTGCGCTCTTTCCTCATCATGGCCACAACAATGTGCTTGGTCTCTTACCCGTCTTTCCTCGACTTGGGTTGGGCCTGCAGTCTCTAGCAACGCCGAGATGATGGCCACTCTAAGCACCTTGATGCCACCTCCGGAGGACAGTGAGAACGAAGAGCTGATGGAGCTGGCAGAGACGCTCACCCTTGCGCCAGGTCTTTTGCCCCCGTCGACTTTATTGATCCCCTGCATGTCCCCAACTTTTATTGCTGTCGACTCACCAAAGCGCCGCGACGGGGGTATTTTCTCGGGCTTTAGGACCTTTTGGCTGTCTGTGTCCCGTGTCGTGGCACCGGAGTCACACCATGGTCAATGGTGAACCCATCTTTGCTGCGGCCTATCTTGGCCACATCTTTCTCATGGCTGACCGCACAAAGCTGCATGCTTTCTTGACCAACCCTAAACGTTATCTCTGCCAGGAGCTTCGCGTCTCCCTGCGCGTACGTGCATTTGCATTTCCTTGGATCCCGGAATGCCGACAAACTGGTGTGACCATGCCCCAGTGACGCTGCGTGGTTGGACATAGGCTTGCATTGTTGCTGACACCGTGGAGGTGGCCGAGGATCTTATCAAGGCGCTGGCTGAACACACTTCTCTGGACGATTGGAGCAACATGCCTCAGTTGCGCTTCATCGAGGCCCCCACAGAAAAGGACGGCACGATCCCCACCCTTCTCAGTAGCATGCAAGAGCATGAGGTGCGCGTTGACATCTTGGGCAAAGCTCGGCCGTTTTGCTCGGACGTCTGCGTCATCATTCGCCTCACAACCGTCCTCCATGGTCGCTGCGGCCTGCACTTGCAGAGCTATGTCCTGATCGCTACACATGAGGTGCACCAGCAATTGCGCCCGCTCTTTGGAGGCGCTCGGGCTCCCAACTGCGTGCTTTGCCCGCAGCTGGCTGCACTCCCTCAACTCACAGTTCATGAGAGTGCGTTTTTCGCACTGATCCCCTTGCAGCAACCGAAGTTGATCGATCCTTGCTGATTTGGTTGCCATTTTGATTTGTGGGATTTTCCATCACAGATGAGGATGAGTCGGCCGCTCTCTTGCAGCAAAACAATGCAGATCCACGCCAGACCTCTTATAATGCCATGTTGGAGCAGCTGCGCGATCGTGGAGTGCCCGTTCTGGTATGCGAGCGCGAGTTGGACGTCAAACAGGCTGGCTTGCTCGCTGTGCGCGCCCGCCATGCCGCCCAGCAAGAGCTCGTCATTCGGCCCAAGGAGGTGGAGCACGCGTTGGACTTTGAAAATCTCAACGAAGCTCAATTGGGTGATACCTTTCGGTGTGTTCTGTCTCACCTCACATCTCAGACTACCCTCGGTGTTTCACTCGCGCGTCCATTCCTAGACATGTACCCTCGTGCTGGTGTCGACACGTGCTTTGGCGATGGAAAAATGCTCATTTGGCTCCTTGTCTCCTCCCCATAGCTACTGCCCGGTTAGCTTAGTGCAGCATGGGGCCCTGGTGCCTGGATTACCCGATTTTGCCGCCCTTTATGATGGTCGCTACTATCACTTTTCCTCGGAAGATAACCGAACACAATTCCTACTGGCCCCACAGGATTATGTGGCTCTGCATGTTCCCGTGACACCCCCTCCTCCCCGCCTATGCTTCATCGGTCCGCCCGGCGCCTACCAACAAACGGCAGCGCGCAAGCTTGCCACCAAACACGATGTGGTTCACGTTGACTTTGCCGAGTATGTTGAACAACTTTGTCGCGACCCCAGCCATGAGCTACACGAGCACGTCTTGGACAAAGTGGATGATCCAGACGTCGACATTGATGCGGAAAAGGCCATGGCCATTTACACCTACCTGTGGCATCATCTTGCCAATGGGTTTGTCATGGTCAATTTTCCCCGCACCGAGGATGATCTGCGTGCCATGGTCGAGGCTGGCATGCCGCCCGACGTGTTGGTGTGCTTCAATCTATCGCTCGAGGTTGCATTGCAACGTGTCGTTTCCCATCGCCTTCGCCTGTATCAGCGGCACCGAAGTCGGGTAAGCGCGCGGCCTTGCCTCGCATTCGTTTAATGAGGCCACATTGAGTCTGATCCTTCCATCACGGCTCCGTTTGGTTCATGGGCTTTTGCAGGTAACGAGGGAGCGCGAAAAAAAGAAGCAGGCGCGCGAAACTGCACTCCGCCTCCACCGCGAGGCCTGGGAGCGCGCGCAATATGAAAAGGTTCGGATCGTCGCAGTTTGCGCGGACCGGGCAGTCTGGGTGTAATGCACTGCCCAACAGCTGGCGCTCATGTTGTTTGCTTTGGGATGTCTGTGTGCCCAGCGCCGTGAGTGGGAAGCAGAGCGGGAAGCAGAGCGCGCCGCACGCCGCGAAGCTGGCGAGGAAGAAGAGGAGGAGGATGAGCCTGAATACGAAGGCGAAGAGTACGAACCTTTGGAGGAGGAAGACGAGGAGGATGCGGATGTTGAAGAACTTGAGGGCGGTGAGTGCTTGGGGGACTGACAGGGAGGGGAGGGGGTATTATTGGGCGTCGAGGTTTACACGCTCTCGACACGGTTATTCTCACGTGTTGCTGCGATGGACTCTGACATGTGCCTCTTTGCTCCTCGACCGTCCCATGGCCACATCTCATCTAGACGACCAAGCGCGTGTTCGGCTGCAAAACGAGGTCACATCGCGTCACGAAGGCGAAGTGGATACCATGGCCAGCCTGATGGCTGCAGCTGTGCAGACATACTTCCTTGATATGGTTGAAGTTCGTGGAGATTTGAGCGAGAGCCGCGTCGTGCAACAGGTCATGTCGCGCATGCGCAAATATCTCGACAATCGAGCTGACCTCTTGGAGGCTTGTCAACAACAGCCGCTAGCCATTTGCCAGGCGCTGCTGGATCAAGGCCATTTGCATGCCTCAATCTATGGCACGTGGTGCCCGGCACGCTGTCGAAGCGGCACGGCAACAGCGCCTCAAGAACTCGTTCGCTACCCAGCCATTTTTCGGGGCATGGCCTTATTTTTCTCATCCTTCAAGGAGCGACAAAGCTTCGTTGAGGCACCTTGGTCCTTTCTCACAGCGCAACGGGACTTGATCCCCACTTACAGTCCTTTGCGTCTGGTGATCACGGGTCCCCCACAAGCTGGCAAAACTACGGCAGCCATGGGCGTGGCCGAGCACTTTGCTTTGGAACGCATCACGGAAACCAGCGCTGTGGCCCACTTCTTGGCGTCGTCCAATCCTCTGGCACTCGAGGTGCGACGGGAGCTGACCATGAGTGGCTCGGGTTGCTTGTCTGCAGCCACGTTGGGACAAGCCCTTCTCCACGCCACATGCCGACCTCGGGCCGCCATTGAGGGCTACGTCATGGATCTGCAGAGCTTTCCTCTGGAGTTGGTACGTTTGATACACCAGGCCAATCGCGAGGCTTGCTGCCCCCGCCTCAATCGATTGATTCGTGCCGGACCACGGAACTGCGTCTCCTCTCATTTCCAACATTCATTGCGTGTGTGTGTGTGTGTGTGTGTGTGTGTGTGTGTGTGCTGCGGTTGCTGCTGCGGTTGCTGCTGCGGTTGCTGCTGCGTCGTATGAACCGCTCAAACCATGTATAGTGGCAAGCACTGTCTCGTCATGAATTGCTCCTACCAACGTCCATCTACGAGCTTGAAGCAGACATGGCGGTCGTTGCCAAGCGTTGCCAGGAGGCCCGCGAACAGCCCATGCCCGATCCACCGGTAGGCTTTTTTTGCATGATGTTTGCTTTTATCACCTCGAGATGTAAGCGGGTGGACACCGTGTTGCGGCGGAGGCTGATGAGATGAATGTGCTTCCTTGCTGGGCGAGCAGATTTGCATGGCCGTTGAGCTATGTGAAGGCCTCTATCAGGCCTATAAAACACAGGTTGCACCGTTTCGCGAGCACTTTGTGACCCAGCACCGCAACTGGCACAGCATCCCAGCCACTGGATCCAAGTGGGCGGTGAAGAGAGCCATACAGCTGAGTCTTGAGACAGCGACTGCCGCTCAGGCGCAGTTTTGGAGCAACCGTGCCGCGAATCAGCCCGCTCGTTTGGTTCATCTTGCCACGGCGCGCACCACATTGGAGAACCAACTTGGGCCCTTTGGGCTGCTGGATGTCGTGCGGTCAGTGGCTACGCGCACCGAGCTTTGCGTTCCTGACCCGAGCACAACTGTTGTTCGTTTTCTCTTGGAAGGGTTATGTCCTGATCTCTCCTCTTTGTTGTGCACTGGGTTATCTTGCAGCTGGCGCGATCATCAAGAGCTGGTGACGGCATCATGGGATTCACTTTCGGCCGGCATTTTGTATAACGACCAAGTTTATTTTGTTCATGAACCGGCAGACCTGGCGCGCTTTCACACTGACCCGGATGTGCGTGTGCCCTGATTCCTCGACGCGCAAAGTGCCGGCTGTGCTGCTGTACCGCTGTACTACTTGCGTTGGTGATGATCCGTGTTGGCTGACTGGCTTGCAATCTATGGTGTGCATTGGCAGGCTTATGCGCAATGTGCGCCACCGGCTCAGCGGCCCACCGTCGTGGCTGATGCCTCACTTATATCGACAAACAAGGTGGGTCCCTACGCATTTTGTCTGGGGTTGTAACCGTCCGTGCTCGACAATGTTCACTCATTCGCAAGCATGCTTTCTTGGCCTTTGCTCTGCCTGTTGCTGCTACATGTTTTGTGCATAGCTGGAGTTTGGTGCCTTTTGCCCCGTGACGTATGTCCAAGGCTACAAGCGCTTTGAGAGTTTGGTGGAGGGTTCTCGAGAACACATTGTGCAATTCGACAGCAAGTTTTACGCTTGCCAGGGAGCCAAGGAGGCGGCTGAGTTTTGTCGTTGCCCATCAGCGTTTACAGGCCTGCAGCTTCCCGCGCGCCTTCCTGTTCGACGACTCAAACAGCTGGTAAGTCCACTATTATTAGGCCAAGAAACGTGAGCACATGATGTCTTACCTTGCCTCCTCGGCGGGCTTTACAGGACGTACAAGCGCTGCCAATGCTGGGGTATTTGGAGCAAACCGTGTCGGTTCTCATCACCAAAAGCATCACCAGCGTGGGGCTGAAACGACCCAAGTATCCTTTCTTGACGTCGCAACAATCAGCCCTGATCTACATTGCCCACTTTCTCAAGGCATCGAATCCAAAGTACGGCTGTCCTGCCTTGGGAGCTAGGGGTGCAGAGTTTTATGTAATAAATGGCTAGCGACCCCTTTGTTTCTCACTCCGGATGGCTTTGTCCCACTGCGTCTCTGCACCACAGAGCATCTGTATTTGCCCGTAGCACCTGGGCCAGAAAGATGCAAAAATTCGAGCGACATTGCGCCTTGATCAGCGAGCTTGCCCAGCGGATGCCAGCAGACGTGGCCAGTCTCGATGACAGTGAAGAGCGCATTTTAAGTAACATGCTTGATGATTTTTACAACTTGCAAAAGACCTCTGCACCGGCTGCCTCATCTTCGTAGCGAGTCGATTGTTCTTGGCGTGCACCTACATGCGCCATAATTCATGTTTCTCTAATCGCCATGCTCAAAAGCACAACTAAATCTCTTTTGTCTTTTCTTTCGTATCTCCCCCACGTTGTGCTTTAAAGTCTAGATCACGTCACACTTTACCATTTCCCTTGTCGCACACACACACACCGAACACATGTTGCGACGACAGCTGAAGCGTGGTGCGGCGGCGGCGACCACGGCGAGTGCCGCCCCTGCTCCAACAACGGGCTCTACGCGGCGGCGCGCCAAACGCAGCAAAGCATTGGATCAATCAAACACTGAGTTGGAACAAGAGTTGGAGACTGCAGTTTTTGGACGAGGCGACCAAGCTTTGGATGCCATTTTGGGCGAGGTGAGTTACCACGTGGTCTGGCGTTTCCTCCGCGCTGATTGTCCCGAGGCCTGAGGCTTAAAAGGGCGCGCGTGTTCTTCGGGGCGCCTTCTCATCTTCCTTTTCCTCTTTTCCTTCCTGTTCTGGTACCCAGGCCTCAGATGGCAGTGATGATGAGCGTGAGGTGAATGCTGCTAGCGATGACGAGAGCAATGATGAGGCCAAGAGTGAGGAGGGAGGCCAAGGAGCGGCGTGGGAGGACGAAGATGATCAGCAATTGGCTGTGGACATTGCAGAGCAAAAGGGACTGCGCAAGTTGCGCACCGACGAAGAGGACAAGGTTTGTGCGTTGACGTAGTCCATCTTCGAGAATTTGGGGTCATCAAGTTAAGTTGGCCTGTCTCTTCTCTTGTCTGTAGGTGATAGATGGTGGTGAGTATGAGCAGCGGCTGCGTGCGCAATTTCAAAAGATCCATGGTCGCCCTCAGTGGGCAGCACAGGAGGGCAAAGAGGCCGAAGAGGATGAAGAAAGCCTTTTGCGCACTTCCGCCCGGCTCATTTCCCGTCGGTCTGCGGCCATTCCGGCTCACCGTCTCAAATTCTCGACCGTCCGCGACGGCAACCACGCGGCACCCAGCAAGGTCTGTCTTCTGTCTTTTTTTCTTTTTTTTTTTTTTTTTTTTATGTGTTGCTGTGGCGCGGTGGTGATGGGCACAATGATGAACAAACTTTATTCAGTCTTCAATCTGAAGCTTCTTGTGGATAAACCTTTCTCATTATCTGAGCGCCCCCATACCACCATATCGCCGCATCCATTTGCAATACGGACATTGCCGTCGTCGTGCGTGTTGCTTGCTCCTCACCGTTTGTCAACTTGCTCTCTACCATGTGCTTGTCAACCTGTGAAGGCCGTCCTGCAAGTCCTCGGCTTTCACCCGTCGGCGCCGGCACTCTTTACTGCCGGCATGGATCGAACCCTGCGCCTCTTTCAGGTACAAACCTCTGACCTCCTCACATCCGCCGGGCTGAAATCCTCTTTCTGGGTGCGAGATGCTTTATTTCATTCCGAGCTCACATTGCTGATCAAACTTTTCAGGTCGATGGCAAGAAGAACGCCTTGCTGCAGTCGACGTTCTTGAAAGATATGCCCATCATGAGTGCTGGCTTCACCCCCCAAGGCAACAAAGTCAGTCGATGGCCTTAATCCTACCGCATGCCGACGTGGACTGACCCTTCCTTTTCACTCAATTGTTGTCTCTGACTGCGATTAGATTTTCTTGTCCGGCCGTCGCCCATTTTTCTATTCGTTTGATCTCGAACGGACTGCAGTCGAACGCATTCCTCGTCTTCAAGGTGCGCAAGCAAGCCACAATGCTTGATTGTCTTGATCATCTGAGTTGTAGCTGAGGCCCGCCCTTTTCAGCTCTTGTCAATTGTGCATTGGTCGTGGCTTGACCTTGTGTGTCTTGCAATCTCGGGGTGTTGGCAGGCCGCGCCGAGCGTAGCTTGGAGCGCATGTGGGTGTCGCCCGACGACAAGCACTTGGTTTTCACTGGCAAGGATGGCGCGCTTCTCCTCGTGTCACAGCAGGTAGGCTGCACGCAACACTGTGAATGGCATTGGAGTGCATGCTAGGATGCTTCAACTTGGAAGAGTTATCGTCGCTCATAAATATCGCCTCGTACCATCTGCCTGGCATTGTCGGCATCAGTCACGCCACTGGATCTGTGATCTGCACATGAACGGACCGGCTCGCCACGTGGCCTTTAACAGCGACGGCAGCGTCATGTACTCGTCTGGTGGTATGTGTCTAGGCTTGTCTGGCCAGTTCAAGTGAATATGTCTTGTTCTACTTAGGAACACGGTGTCTCGATGCATCCTTACACGCATGTCTTCTTGTCTGCAAACCACGTGACAGAGGATGGCAAGATTTATGTCTGGGATATGAACACGCGTGATTGTACCCATGTCTTCGTCGATGAGGGCTGCTTGCGCTCAACCAGTCTGGCTGTGAGCCCCGATGATGAGCACGTGGCCACTGGGTGCGTCCATGGATCCGTTTTTTTTTTTTTCCCAATCGGGGTCAGACGGTTTGAGCCGACGTTTGGCCAAACACTCACGTGTTGGCTGGGTATTGCCTGCTTGTGCCGATCCCCCCTGTTTGGATAACATAGGTCTGACAGTGGTATTGTCAACATTTACAACTCCAGTTGTCTGCGTTCCACGGATCCCACCCCTGTGAAGGTCATCAAGAATTTGGTGACCCAGATTGACAATCTCAGTTTCAATCATGACGGCCAACTTTTAGCCATGGGCAGCCGCATGACCAAACAAGCGTTGCGACTGGTATGTGTCGTAGCAACCACGCCATCGTGATGTGGGATGTGTGCAATGCTGCGCTGTGCATTGGTGCACTGTGGACTGACCTTTTCCACGTGCACTTGGTCCAACCACCTTGTTTTAATCACCAGGTGCACGTCAACTCGACGACCGTCTACAACAACTTTCCGACCACCAGTGCGTAAATTTGACTCGCATGATCTTGAAGGCTGTGGTCCCCACAGCGTGCTTGTCGTGGGTGGTCAGACCCTTCAGCATCAACGTTGATGTTTTTTTTTCTGCTTGTGGTGGTGCTGACCCTGGGCCTGCGCGTGCAGAAACTCCATTGCACTATGTGCATTCATTGGGCTTTTCACCCAATGGTGGCTACTTCGCCGTGGTTCGTACTACCTGTCCTGTGCGCAGGAGGGCCATTGTCATGTATGAGTTTTAATCAGCTCACCACGCCTGTGCATGCGTTCATGCTTTCACAAACTCTCTAACCGTAGGGCAACGACAAAGGACGCGTCCCCTTGTTTCGCCTCAATCACTACAGCAATGTCTAGGTTATTGTGGTGCACTGCGTCCCACCTGTGGGCGCCGCGTTTTGTGCCGATCAATGTTGTTCAATGTTGCTTGTTGCATATTGCATTGCTTGTCTCTCTTTCGCCGCTTGCTGCTGTGCTGCGTGCGGCGTTGCCGTTGTCGCTCTTTACATTAACCGATTCTCGACACTGAGCTCCCGCGGCTAAAGGTTGGGCGTGTATGCTTCGTTCTGGGCTTGTCGTTATTGTTTGATATGGTCGTGACCATACATTCAATTTTCGTTTAGTCTTGTGATTGATCTGAAGGCGATCCGCGTCTTGGCGTCTTCTTTGGGTGTTGTTTGTTGCCCCTTATGCCCACCCTGACCCCGGCCTCCCGAGCTTCATAATTGATTTGGATTTGGATTTGGATTTGGATTTGGATTTGGATTTACACGAAGATTTTTGATTGGTTTCGTATGAAAGATCTGAACCAAACTGCAAACAATCTTGCAAGATCTTGCATTTGCCCCAGCGGTTGACGTGCTTGCTTTGCTCGCCACCGCGCGGCGACCACGACCAACAACGACCACGCACGAATTGGCGTGTGTGAGTCGGGTTTGATGGAGGGTGCCAAATCTTGGGATTTGGTTTGGCGTTGTCTATCACACTTGCCTCGTGCCTTTGTGACCAAGCACGAACAGCAAAAAGCAGCAAAGTACGTATGCTGACATGACTCTTTCTTCACACATTTTTTCCAAGAGATCGTAGTCGTGTATGCACGAGCGCCATTCAACGCGAGGTGTGTGTGTGTGTGTGTGCGATGGGTCACTGACAGGTGGGGTTAACATGTCAATCAAATCAGTGGCTTTTGATGGAGTGCTGACGAACTGGCGGTGCGCGCGCGGTGTCTGAAAGGGGGTTAGGGAGGGGACGCTCAACGCGATTGTGAGGGACTTGGTCACATCGGGGGTTGGGTTTGCGGCCCGCTTATGTGTGTGTGTGTGTGTGTTGAGCAGGCATCGGAGTTGTTGCTGCAGGACAGTATTGATGCGTGCCCTTTGATCCACTTTTGCAGTGCTCCTGGCCTGGTGCCCAACAGCGATTCATCATGCAAGCCGCGCCGCTTCTGCCTCGCCTATCATCGCTGCTGCCACTGCTGTTGCACCCTTAAAGCTGTTGCTTGTTTGCGCCGACTAGCCGTGATCGATCTCGCCTTTTCATGTACAACACGCGGTTCACATCTCGATCTTGCGGACCGCGGTCACCATGGCCACCAACGTTTGTCGATGGCGCACATTGAATTTGGACACCTGTGATGAGGAGACCTTTGTACGACTGGCTCAGGAGCAAGGCACCCTTATGTTTGACCCTCTAGGCCCTTTTCTCCTGACAGCCCTCCATGTAGCGGCAAGGCGGGGATTTCTGTCGGCCATTCGAGCCCTCTTGAGCGTGGACTACACTCAACTACCTGCTTACGACGTTGGGTTCCTCGTCTTTGAGGACCGGGGCCGTATTTGTCCCGACCTGTGGCAACTTCCGCGTATTTTTACACCTTTTCACAGCGCGGTCGAGCACGGACAGGCACAGGCGGCCGAGTTGTTACGAGCAGCCGGTGCCAACATTAACCAAGTGACCCCACAGCGACGATCGGCTCTACACCTTGCCGTCATTGGTCGGAACATGCCGCTACTGAATGCTCTTCTGCGCTACATGGATGCAGGGCTGATCAACGCGGTGGACGCCGACAGTCTAGCGCCCTTGGACTATGCAGATAACATCGAGCAGGTTTTTTTGCTCATACAGCGAGGGGCCCGCCTCGATACCAATGGTCTCACACTCAAGCATCTTCTTTTTGGTCAAGCCTCCATGAGTGCGCTGGCTGCCATCATTCTTGCTGGATGTAATCTCGGGTTGAGAGCCACCGAAAAACATGACCAAGAAGAGCAAACTAGCTCACTTCTTTCGTATATCATTCGAAAGGATCATGTGAGCGCCTTGGCCCAGGAGCTGGCTCGGCATAAATTCGCCTGGGCCACGTCGAATCGGCATGCATTCCTAAAGGCTTTAGTCGCCGATGAGAATTTTGGTGAGCGACACCTGTTGCAGTGTGCCCAAGTCGACAACCTGCTGCCACCTGTCTTTTCAGATGGCAGCACACTGCTGCATCACTTGGCGGGTAATCCCAACATGAATCGCTCCTGCTGCGAGATCTTGGAAGAGATGGCAGGCTGTGCCGTCAATGCCCGCAACGCAGATGGCCACACCATGTTAGACATTTTGCAAGCCAAGGGGCGCACCCTTCTGGTCGAAGAACTTCAGACGTCTCGAAACGCCATGACGGGGGCTGAAATTGCTGCAGCCGAACAGAAGGAACGCCAATAGTCAACAACCATGATCTTTTCATCAAAACGCAGATCACCGCACGGCCAGCCTGATGTGTACAGTCAGCACCTCAAAGCAGACCAAAGCCAGTTGCCACTTGTGTTTTCTTGGCTTCCCACAGATTGCCTTCTGCTTCTGCATGGTCCCGTTCTGTGTGTGTGTGTGTGTGTGTGTGTGTGTGTGTGTGTGTGTGTGTGTGTGTGTGTGTGTGTGTGTGTGTGTGTGTGTGTGTGTGTGTGTGTCCCTTTTTCTTGAGTTATGGTTTCACATGGGAGCGCTCTCATCAAGTGACTATGCGCAAAGTTGACCAGAGTCTTCTTTCTCGTATCTCACGACCCTTATAATCGATTGCTTTTTTTCCTCACCATGTTTTTTTCTTTTACGTCTCATTGACAATCGCTTGTGCTCTTGATGGCTTGGAGTATGGGGCGCTGATTCTCAAGCTGTGCGCGCCCAGATGTCTCCCCGTATGCCCCAAGCATGCATGTGGGTGCGTGCGGACTAAGCAACTCTGTCCTCTCCCTCTTGGACGGGCAAGGCCCAAACGGCCAATGGCCAAGTGCTGTTCAAGCGCCTCAAATTTGAAAAACAAACCACCTCTCCAATTTTAAACCGTGTAACGGCGGAAAAGTTTCAATTTTTTGTTCTTGAAATTTGTCGCGCCGCAGATCGAAAGCTGGCCATCGTCCAATTGTTCTGGGCAACGCCGCTATTTGACGGGCTGCTGGCGGTCGGGGGTGTGCTTGGGCACGCCCAAAAGTGTGGATATTGTATGGGCTGTCTGCCTGAGGGATTTGGGTTCTGTAAGAAAACGGCCCGAGCATCATGGCAACCAATTCGCCCGTGATGCGAGGCCTGCCTTTTGCAAACATTCCTCGCCATGCAGACGTGACCCAGACTCCCTCCATCTACACCTATCCATTTCCCGAGAGTCAGACTAGTGGTAGGTCTCTTTGCTGTGAGCCCGAACTGTCTGGTTGGTTGTCTCATTCTTTGAGCCATCTTGTCTTCTTACTGGTCACCGGGCATGGTACGATAGAGGTGGTCCGAGCGCTGCGTCAGCTACAGCACCAGTACGACGTGCTGAAGCAAGAGCGTGATGCTGCTCAGGGTTGGTGCACCTGGCATGGCTATGATCTGCCAAGCTCAATCTGCGATTGGCTATTCTCTATCATCGATCATTCAATTCAATTGCCTTTTATCCTTTAGCGAGCTACGATCGACTTCAGCGTGAGGCTGGTGGATATCAGACCCAGTACACGGCAACCCACCGTGCCGCGGAAGCTGCCGAACTGGCCATGATCGAGCGACTGCAGGCTAGCCTCACTGCCGCTGTACGTGGATTTGGGCCGTGTGAACTTATTTATTGTGTTGGTATCGCATCGGCTCAATAATCCGATTGTGCTGTCGGTGCATGGTTGTCGATGGAACCCATAGGAGGACAAGTCCCAGCGCCTGAAGGCTGAACTTCAGGTCAGCATACCTCATACGCCGGCGAGACACTGACTCCGCCCCTCTCTTCCTCGCTTAAAAAGGAGTGCGAAATACTTCATCTCACTTTCTCCTCGATGGCTCTTTGCTCCATCAAATTCAATTGGCAGGACATCCGGCGAGACATGCGCTCACAAGCACCGCCGCCAGCACCTGCAGCGCCACCACCATCTGACCCACAATCCGCGACCCAAGCCGCTGACTCCAGCCTTGCTCAGTTGGATGCTTATTTGCATCAGCATTTTGGCACTCAGCACAGCGCCGATCTGCACCAGGCAGCGACGGCACCGAAATCTCAGAGCCACCAAGACGCCACTAGGCGCGGCGCTCCCGGTGGGCAACCGTCTCACTTCGCTGCGGCGTCGCGAACGAGTGATGGCGTGCCACGCGTGGTATGGAATGGGTCACACTTTGTGCTGGAAGAGCATGGGCATTCCGTGGTGAATCCCATCTCATCTCACGTGCCCCAAGCCCCCACCACGGCCGCTAGCCACGTGCGCATGGCCCACTCCAACTCGACCTATACCTCGGATTCAGTCGCCGACTCGAATCCCCTTGTCACCTGGTCTGACCAGGGAGAGCTGCAAGTGAATGCGCTCGAGCCGGATGTAGCAGCTGTTGATGAATCTATATCCCCATCGACTGCGCCGGCAACGGCTTCGCACAAGCAGCCGCCTCGCCCTCGTGTCGCGCCCAAAGGGCGGCCAGCCAGTTTTTGCGACATGGCTACTTCCCCTGTTGCTGCGCCCATCTCTGGCACAACTGTGCTTCCCGCAGCAACCCAGTCCACTGCCTTCATCTCTGCTGAGACCACTTCCTCCTCGAGTGCTCATGCAGGCTCGGAATCGATGCAAGGCGAGGCCGCTCCTACCAGCAACAACCCGGGCCCGACAGGGCCCCGCCCATTAGCTCGGCAATCATTGCCTTCGGCAGAGGCGTCGCTCGACGTGCCTGAAGCATCGGCTCGTCTTCATTCCCATGCCACGGGCACACAAACAGCGGTGACTGGGACCACTGGACTAGATGCTCGCGCGAAGGTGCGGGACAATGATGCCTTATCGATGGACAGCCTCATGGGGGCGAGCGAAGCACCTGCAGATCTTGAGGACCCTGCATCGAGGTCACAGCCACTAAGATCGAGCGATGCCAAGCCCAAGGCACCGGCGAAACAGGGGCCTGCAGGCGCGACCAGCTCCAACCCATCGGACTTACGCGTGTCCGTGCAGGAGTTGCAAGCTCTCGCGGTATGTACTCACGGCATCTGGATGGGGCAAAGACACCGTTGCCCTTGCAAGCCAGCGCATTCAAAAGGCAATGGCCAGAGCAAACCAGCCTTTTTGACTACTAGTCCTGATTTGGAACGATGATCTAGTTACGAGAAGGGTAGCTCATTCTACAAAACCTTTGCATCACAGGAACGTATTTCTACGCTGGAGAGTTTTACCAAGTCGATTGATACGCAACACAATTTGACGCAGGTCTGTAAACACAGCATTGGCCAGTCCGGCCTTACTGGACGCACTAAGGGCTTGTTCAGTCGAGGCACCCTTCCTTCCGGTTGCAGGTGCTCCCCGACAATTCTTTTTTTTCCTTGATTGTCCCTGTGCTTGTTTTGAACTCCCATTAGGCCGACGTTAGAGCGCTTCAAGGGGAGCTTCGGAGGCTGCATGAGCGCTATGAATCACTGTCTGTGACCGTTGCTGACCAACAAGCTCAGACAGCCGCACTGGCTCGCGCCCAGGACCAAGCGGCCCGTTTTCAGTCAAGTCGTCGTGCCTCGGCCGATGCTTCGGGGCGACACGCTGATCGGAATGCCAAGTCCACCGTCATGTCTCATGTCGGTAGCAATACATCGGCGCCTCGCCACGCCTGCTGTTCTCGAGGCACCGACACAGCTGACGCAATGTCTGTAGACCAGGAGACGTTGGCGGCAGGCCAAGAGGAGCACCATCCCTCGCCCTCACCCATCGCCCCACCCAAAGCCGTGTCCATGTCAGAGACATCCCAGCATCCTCGACCCAACCGAAGCACTCCCAATCGGAACCGTGTTGCTTTTAAGGAGCAGAGACAGGGACAGCGGATTGGGCGAGGTCCGGTGCCTCAACCTCGGACCACTGAGAGGAAGGTCAAGGGTGCTCGAGGCTTATCCAACGGTGCTGGTTCTGCCATGCCCCAGCCTCGGTACTTAGCTCCAACCAAGGCTTGGACATCACACGTGTTGGCTGGGCGCGCAGATCGGGCCTCGCGTGGGTTGGCCACGGATGGCTTGGCCCATGTTCAAGTTGACCTGCCTTTCAACGGCGTTCCCTTTGTTGCGGGCACATCAACAGCGCCGTCTCAAAGTCTTGGCGGCAATCTACAGCAGGTTTTTGCCCTGCTCAAGCGACAAGGCCATCCTGTGCAGCTGCGGTAAGTTTTACCTCACGCCCTTTCTTTTTGTCGGGGGCCCGCTTGATGCTGATAGCTGCTTTTGATTGATCATGCGTAGAGCTGAGACTGAGGCGCATGGCGAACCACTGTCAGAACAAGCCCACCGCGAGCTGATCTACAAGAATCGCCGGCTTTTGCAAGAGGCTCGTGAGGCTCAGATGCAAATGCGAACAACCGAGTTGTCGTGGGATGTTGTCTGAGATTGTCCAGCTGGATTGTAGGAGAGTTGTGTTGTTAACTTAATTTGCGGCCCCTGGTCGTCAGAGGGAGGGGCTTGGAGTCACGAATAACATGTATACAGGGCATTATCTGTCTCAATTGAGGTCTGGCGTGTCAAGACGTGCGCAAATGTTCACAAAGGGGCCAAACGGTGTTGACCACACTTGGCCGGGCACATGGGTCTTGAGGCCTAGCCAAGAGCCAACTTCAAATCAGCCCAATTAAGCATAGTGAAAAGAGCCGCGAGGAGAGAACGTGTACATGATGTCTTCGGGGCGGGGCGTGGGTTGTGTGGGGTCGCGGATGGCATCTTCACTCTCGGCCTACAGGTAGCCAACAGGCAAGAAGAACCAGTGGCGGCAAGTCGTCGTGGTGAGTATATTTTGCGACTTCGCGCATGAGTCCCCCTTCCCCCTCTCCCGTGACAATAATAAATACTCAAGAATACAAGGAAAAAAATAAAAAACGAGCGAGAGCAGACAGTATCGAGAAGCTGTTCGACAGACTGACATTGATGTGGAGACGGCCGAGCTTGTGGAGTGCCAGCAGGAGCGGGGCAGCCTTGCGTCCGATTGAGGTCTCGTGTCTAGATGAAGGAGATGGATCGGGCAAATGTTGATACTGACGACTTCAGAACGCAAATGACAACTTTTTTTAGCTTGGGGGAAGCTGTTAGGCACATTACTTACCCTAAAGATTTGATAGTAAAGAAAGGCTCTTCCATGTCCGCCAGTGCTGTCTGGTAGATGAGATACAACTTGCGAAGCTGGGTGTTGAGCGTGTCCAAATCGATGCAGTCCCGAGTCGATGGGGCCAAGGTCTGATACTCGGCCACGGAAATGTTCATGCCATTGCTGTGCGAGACTGTCGTGCTTGCTGCCGGACGGGGCTCCCTTACCATGGGCTCCGCCACTGGTTCCAGATGTTTGCCCCCGAAAGAAACTCCTCGAGGCAGACTGGCCCCCAGCTCTCGAACCTCCTCGCTTTGGAATCTACGCGGGTGGTTCACAGCAATTATACTTTGCATCAATGGGCCATCCTGGCAGTAGTTCTCCCGGGCGGAAGAGAAGCGGCAGCGATACCCTTACTGGAAACGAGAAAGGTCAAGGTCAAGGTCAAGATCTTCATCGTTTGTACCCAATGCTGGCACAGAGGGTGCGGACAAGCTCGGGTCCAGACCTGGTACCGAGATTGAGGGGAGCTCTGGTTCTAGTAGAGGAAAGTCCAGGTCAGGAGTTTCAAAAGGCAAAAAGTTATTTGAGTTCCTAGTTTCCGATGCTCATGTTAAAAATCATAAAAAAATCTCACAACTCACAACTCACCTTCGGCATCAAAAGCAGGGCGCAGCAAGCTAGTGCCGGTGCCATGGTGTTTGAGGACATCGAGTGTCACTGACGACAAGCCCATGTCTTCAAGGCACGGTGTGCGGGGGGAAGCCACGGCCGGCTTTTCTGCTGCCATGAAGCGCCGTGCTGGCGTGATAGGCGCAGAGCACAAAGCGCCAGTGCTCGTCCCCGCCCCACTAGGAGTGCGTGGGGCAACGGGCGATGCGGGAGTTGGCAGAGCGGACTCTCCAGCTTCATCGTCATCATGCGTAAAGGTGGAGTTCAACCCGCTTTCGTCTGCCGCTGGGGCCTCGTGGGCGCGCTCGGAAGAAGTGTCCTCGACAAGATCTAAGCAAACACGCCCAGGTGTGTGGGAAACATGGTTTGAGGTAAAAGGGGCATCGTGCTAAGCGCTTGTCAGCACATGGGCGCTGGATAGGACACCACTCTTACCGCACTCTGCCGGGCGAACGTAGCCATATTGCTCCAATTCGTCCTCAACAGCGCCCAGGCGCGAGGCGGTAGCCTAAATGCATTTAAGTGCCGCAAAGCAGAGTGTGAGCCCCGGAAAAGAAGAGCTTATGCCGCAGGAGTATCATCGCACCTCATGGATCTGCGAGCACAGGGCAACAAGGTCTGCCATGGTGTAATCATAGCAGGGCTCCTGCTGCAGCTCGTGTAGGGCATGGTGAACGTTCTCAATGTCTTCTTGCATCTCAACGAGCATGGCTTTGGCATCGGTATAATGCTTTGCGTCGTCTAGATGGTGGCGCACGTCCGGAGGGGAACATGAGCCTTGTTATTCAGCCGCGAGGGCGCGGGCAGCGATACAAGACAGATATATTGACGATAGATTGACCAACCTGGCGGCGCTTGGGCCCGTTGGCGCAGAGTACAGCTGTCTCGTTCGAGTTCGATGGCAAACTCGCGAAACGAGGAGAAGAAGGCAGAAATCATCGTTGCTGTTTATCCGAATACCCAGCTGCCGATTCAAAAAAAGGAGAAAAAAAAGGGAAATGACACAAACCGAAGAATGCATCAACTCGACTTTTTAAAAAAAGGCGGGAAAACAATGCTGACAAATCAGCCAAGTCTCGATTTAAACACGGCGTTGTGACAATGGTGTACAACAGCTTTGGGATGCACATCGCATGAGACAACAGGGTGGCGACGCTATAGGTTCAAAGACAGCAAAGACGGTAAAATTTTATGCAAACAAAGAAGAAGGAAAGAAATCACAAAATTATCAAAATTCAGAGCCGGATCCTATTCTGCTACGGCATCTCCGGAGGACATCGGCATGCTCAATTGGCACTGTTGGGAATGTCGCCATTTACGAGCTGCTCGGGGGTGGTAATACCAAATCGCTGCGGGCAACCACTCTGAGCAATATCCTTGCCCTGGATCTTGCCATCAACCAGGTACTCCTTCTCAATCTTGGGCTGGGCCCACAGCAGGACCTTGTCCATCATGGGTGTCTCGACCCCGCAAATCTCGGCAACACCGCGGAGTACGGCGAGACCGTGAGGCAAGTCTTCGGTGAGGTAGCGGGTGCGAAAGTTGGGCACAAACTTGCCGCCTTCCACCTCCGTGACCGGGGCCTTGAGCCCACGGAAGGCGTCATTGGTGGCGAAGATCTGTGCTGTGCTGCTGTGGTCAGAGATGACATCACCGTAAACATCGAGGAGATACACATCAATGGGCTGCCAGCCAGCGAGGTCGGCACCGGCTTTCTTGAGGACCTCTACGGCTTGACCAATCTCGTTGGAGAGGCCATCGAGCACCGAACCCGTAAAGTCGTTGCAGTTTTGGTAAAACAATGGGGCTTCGGCCACCGGTTCGCCGTCCCAGTCATGCCAGATGCCGTAGGAGATACCCGTGTGGATGATGCAATTGGTTGGCCAAAGAGCCGAGGTGAGCATGTTGCCCTTGCACTGAAAGTCCGTCAGGTCGTGCAGCCGCGACATCTTGTCGCCAAGGAGAGCGTTGCGTTCGGGCTCGTTGGGGCGCGCGTTGATGTCAACGCGTTTCTTCTCACCAAGGAGCGAGGCTTTGCAACCATACTCGTCAAAGCGACAAGCCCACGGTAGGGAGGTGCCAGCAAACAAGGTAATGTCCCGCTCTTTGATGAGGTCGCCCAGTACATTGATGGCAATGAGATCAAAGGCGCCGGGGCCTGGAATGGCACCCACAAAGGCCCCCTTCTTCAGAAAAGGAGCAATCTGCTTGAGAATCGGCTCATGAGCAAAGGCCGGGACGATAAGAAGGATGAGATCGGCTCCTTCAATGGCCGTCTTGGGGTCTGCCGTAATGACCTTGGGTTGGCCCGTGTAGGAGGTGGTCTTTGTCGTTACGGTGACGCCACCAGCCTTATCACAGGCCTCCTTGAAGCGCTTGGCCTCGTCCTCGAAGGAGAAAAAGAGGTTGACGTTGGCGCCATTCTTGGCAAACATGCCGGCAGCAATGTGAGCCGCGTTGCCACCACCACAAACGGTGATGGTGATGCCTTCGGCAGGTTTGGCGTCGGTCATCTTGCCCGTCGATGCGTCCGCTGCTCCTTCTACTGCTGGGGCGGAGGAGACCTCGGTCGGGGTTGGGGACTTAAAAATGGCTTGTACGTCCTTCCAGACGTCGGCAATGTCTTGACCGGCGTTGACGGTCTTGAGCTTGTCGGCAGCGCGGAAGTGCTCAACGACGGGGCGGGACTTGGAGTGGTAGGTTTCGATGCGACCCTTGAGGGATTCCTCGTTGTCGTCGCTGCGGCCCGACGTCTTACCGCGTTCCAAACAACGGGCGACCAGCGTCTGATCGTCGGCCTCAAAGTACAAGGCAAAGTCGCAACCGCGACCAAACTGTTAAGCACAGCGAGCGGGGGGTAGGTGGCGGGGAGTGAGACAATGGGCCGAACAAGAACGGGAAATACGGCCAGCCACGCCATGATGAGGCGGCAGTGGGGCAACAAGGCAGAATTGATGCGAGGCAGCATGCCTTTTTCTGAAAGGCGTGAACTTGATCAAGCTCACGAGGAAAGCCGTCGAGCAGAAGCTTGACGGGACCACCGGTAGCGAGCGTGGATTGAACGGCGTCGGCAAGGATTTCCAAGGTAATGTCGATAGGGATCAGCTTGCCCTCGGACATGAGCCGTTGCACTTCCTTGGCTCGATCCGAGTCTTGCTTGACCTCGTTGCGGAAAAGATCCCCCGTGGAGAGGGAGGTGTAGCCAAAGTTTTCGCAAATGCGGGCACACTGTGTGCCTTTGCCGCTGCCCGGACCGCCTACCAAGGAGCGCACACAGGGTTGATGAGGCTGACACAGAGGTTGTAGCAGAGGTTGTAGCAGAGGTTGTAGCAGGGGTTGTCGCAACAACTCGCGACCGAGGGCTGTTGGGCATGTTTGGTTGTCAAGGCAGCTGGCAGTGGGTAGCGGGCGAGGGCGCACCAAGCACGAAGATGATGCTCTCCACTTGAGAAGCTTGCAGGCCACTGCCCACCTTGACATTGGCCGAACTGCTGCAGGTGCCACCCATGATGGACTGTGAGAATGAAGTGCGATGAGTGCCTTGCAACTCGAAACCAAGGCTCCAAAGGAGCTCGCCACAAAACTGCACAGACAGACAAACAAACACAGACAGACAAACAAGCCCTGATGCAACAACACAGAGAGCTAACAGCACAAGAGAACAAAACAAAAGAGAACAAGAGAGAGACAGAAACAGAGCAAACAAAGAGAGAGAGAGAAAGAACAGAGCAAGAAGCACACACACACACACACACACACACTCTCTCTCTCTCTCTCTCTCTCTCTCTCTCTCTCTCACAACCAGAAAGAAAAAAGAGAATTTGAACAGCTCGGAGTGACTGTGGCGAATCAGGCAGAAAGGCAAGTGATCAAAATCAGCGGCTTGATGTCACGGCATGTGCATGTGCATGGCATGAATCTGCACACACCTGACCCAGACGAGTAGCTCGCCTTTGCGCACTCAGCCGTTCCCTCACTTCAACGCGCGCAATTTACGCTGTGCCAGAAGACGACAACACGAGAGATCGCTACACAGTCACTGGCGGCGGATCACGAGAGAGAGAGAGAGAGAGAGAGAGAGAGAGAGAGAGAGAGAGAGAGAGAGAGAGAGAGAGAGAGAGAGAGAGAGAAAGAGAGAGATGGCGGGGAAACAGCAGACCCAGCACATTGAATGCAAATCACAAGCAGTCGCCAGCCATGATGGACAGCAGAAAGCAGCTTAGGGCACCGGTCATTTTAATGCATACCTGGAGGAAGGGATCGCGAACGAAAAACTGCAGCAAGTGGCGCGCGGACGCGAGGGAAAACAGCCACCCAGTGACGTGTGTGCTCTAGGGGGCCAAGGCGAGTGCAGCACACAAGAAGGGGGCACGTTGTGCAGGTGGTGCAGATCAAAGAGCCAAGTCAGGCAGCAAGCCCGTAAGCTGCAACACAACATCCAGCAAAACATCAACAAAAGAGAACACAACAACAAGACAGCACTTTCTCTGACATTGCTTTCCACACATTATGTGCTATAAGCTCCTACAAAGTGACCCCCCTTTTTTGAAACGGCTGACATCAACGACGGGGTTGACAACATCTGTTTTAAAGTATAGTTGTGTCGTACACGCTCGACCGTCTTTTTTTTTTTTTTTTTCTTTTCATTTCAACAGAACAAGATGGCGTCGGTCGCAGTCAAGGCCGCAGCGGCGGCGCCGCATAAGCTGCATCTCGTGCGGCTCGTGCGCAGCCCAATTCGCAATCCCGAATCCATCCGCAACACCCTGAAGGCTCTTGGTCTACATCGCCGCAACCAGACGGTCATCCACAAGAATACCTCAGCCGTCAATGGCCAGCTCGCCAAGGTGCTGCACCTTGTCGACGTGCGTCCCGTTGTCTTTGACGCCGCGGCCTCGCGAATCCCAGGTGCTCCGCTTGTCGGTGATGACGGCGTTGTGCGCGGCTTCACCGAAGAACAGCTCATGCAATCGGCCGAGCGTATCATCTCCCAAACCACACCTACCCAGCAACAGTAGTGGTGTGAGTTGTGAGGCGAGATGCCAGGCCTTGAAAGGCCAGGTCAAGCGATAGCCGTACCGCCGACATCATGGTCTTTGCCATGGCTCGGGCTTGCGCTCGCACTTATAGCTAACCCTAGCACCAACGATTTCCTCTTTCATCCTCCTTGTTGGGCGCGAACAGCGTTCACCCTCGTTTCCTCAAACGCTTGCTGAGACATGTGAAGAAAAAGCACCGTTGTGCATGCTCCCTGACCCTTCCCCAAACTAATGTGGCTTCTATTGCCACCAATCCCGGCATTGCTCCTCGCTCCATGCACCCGCAGTGTTTGACTGGGTGAGGTGAACCATGCTTCGAGTGCGCTTCACGAATTGCCGTGCAATCGATGCAAGACATTCGTTTGACCGTGCCTCTCTCTGATTGACCAGCCCAATTTTTTTTTGCTGTCTATCCATTGTACATGGCCCCACATGTCAATTCGTCAAAGGGGTTTAACTATCCAACTTGGCGCTCAGCGCCGGGTGCCATCAAACCTGACTTGAACATCTCACCATACAATCCCGCCTCAGTTGCGACTCGCGCCTTTGGCTGAGCTCGTGGCCGAGGTTTCCACCGCCTCATTCTGCAAAAAACGATACAGCTGGTCACCCAATGTCGGTCCACCGCAGAGGTCTCGGATCCGGTCCTGCGATGCCGTGGCCAGCTCCCGTAGACTACCAATCCCAGACATGATGCGATAGACGTTAGCTGGGGTAACCCCAGGCATGGATCGCAGCACAGCTTCGGGCTCAGAGGCGTAGCGGCTATCGCTGAGATGGCCATCCTCCATGTCCACGCCAATGGCCGCTGCCTGCTCTCCATCCGGCTCTGCTCCGCGCCGCTTCATCTCGTAAAACAGCTGAGCAGTACTGTGGGGGCTGTTGCACCAGAAAATGCGCAGCTTGGGGAAATGTAGCGTCAGCAAAACTAGCCGTGCCAACGTGGTTTTAAACTCCAGGTCCGAGCCCAAGCTCTCATTGGCCGCCACCAGACTATAGGGCTTGCTCTCGTCTATCTCGACCAGCAAGATCGGTTTGGGATAGTGCTGCGACATTTGCAGCGCCTGGTTGTACAAACGTCCAGACTTCAGCGAGCCGATCAGGTCGGGCAGTGACTTGCGCTCGACACAAATCTCGGGACTCAGCACGTAATCGCCCACGAGCAGGGTAACCGGCTCCACGTCAATTCCAAACTCGTGCAGGATTGACGGCAGTGACGATCGGAACTCGCGCATGTCCACAATCACCTGCATACATGGCATCATGAGCGTCGGTGTGATACATACGCTGTTTCAGTCATGTATTGTCCCATGGCATGCCCAAACAACGTTGACAGTGCTTTCAGATGCGCACGGGTAAACAGGGCACTAACGCCACGCATACCTTGGGTCGCGTCCCAGCCGTCGCACGACGGCCACCCGCTTGCCGCGTCGAGACATTCTGATCCTCAGGCCGCAGGGCCAGCTGTCGTTCATCCTTTTGGCGCAGGCCAAGCCGACCATCCTATTTGCATCCACCCGGCCGTCATAATAGTCAGTCCATGATGCAGGCAGGGACAGACAAGCGACAGTCGAACAGACAACCATGTCAAGGGCGACTAGGTGGACGCTTTGTCCAAATTAACTGATGCACACACCTGATCCACAGGAAAAGCCATGCTCCGTTTTGCGCTGATCACATATGTAAAGGCTTCTTTCTCCTGTCGCAGCGAAGACAAGTATTGTTGCTCCTACTCAGAGGCAGAGGCCAAGTGCCAGTTCCAACAAGTTGTGAGTCAAAGGCCCGTGCGTGCCATGGCTCTGACAGTTGCACCAACCTGAAATGAAGTGTCCAGAGTCAGCAGGGCCACCTCGATGGGATGCGAGGCCACGTGCGCGTGCAGCTCCAGCTACACACGGGTACCATCGAAGGACAAGACCCGAACAAAAACCACGGTGTTAGACGGTGCCATCAGCCTGAAAAGAGCTCCAGAGTACTCATCGAGCACGCTTGGAAAAGACAAAGTGCAGCTGCGTGCATACCTCGCGCACAACGACAATGTTGAGATCATAGATCAGAACGTTGTTCGGCTGCAGGTCCAACAAGAGCCGGGCCAACCGTGATCCCTGCACGCCTCCTTCTCTGTGGTAAGCATGGATAATAACGTGGAACCCGGTTTCGCCAAACTCGCCAAAGTTGGCAGCCAGGTCTTCGTCCGGGGGCAAAGCGTAGTCTGCCCGGATTTCATCCTCCAATTCGCCTTGTGAGTCATCGTCAGCCTCTGCTTTATGGCAAAAGGAAGGTCGTGAGACGAAAAAAAAAAAAAAAAAAAAAAAAAAAAAAAGGTCCTGTAGGGCCGGTCCCGAGTCTTGTGGCAGAGGTCACACGCACCATAAAGGTCGCCATCAGCCTCGATCGCTGCCGCCTGCAATGCGATCCAGCCCAGAACCCCCGTGATGCAATCATTCAAAAGAAGAACCACATTGACAAGTCAGAAGAATGAACAGGGTTCCGGCAGGAAATCCAAGGAACCTCTATGCACTGTTACGATGAACTGACCTCGAGCTTCTTCCTTTTTCGCAACTGTCGCATGGAGGCGGGTCCGGCCTCTGCGGAACAAGTAGCCAATCAATCATTGGACAAGGATGAGATGCGCATGGCCCAGTGCAAAACCGCTCGAGACCCCACGCGGCGACACACCTGAGGCTTGAGTGCTGTTGCGCTTAAGAACGCCATTGGCACTAAACACCCTCACACGAAGCGAGGGAAAGCCAAACCATGATGTGTAAAGGAGATCAGCCTGTCGCAGATGAACCCACATTGCCTTTGGTCTCATGCGGCAACATACCTCAGACGCGAAGTGCGCACGCGCCAAGCACGATAGCGACGAAGCTGCATGTTCAACACGTACTCCTGACCTCGATGCATGACTGCACGCAATTGCCTTGCCGTGCGCTCATCACGGACCAAGACAAGCGTCCGGCAACACGGCTGATCTTGGTTCGCCTAATGCAGGATTCGAGGTCAGGCGTCAAGACTTTCAATCTCAAACCTCGCGCTTCCATATGATGAGGGATACTGGCACTTGGCCGCCACAACGGTGGGCTAACCTCTGCGGCACGTTGCCAGATGTCAATCTGCTCTTGGTAGGCACTCCACTTGGGGTTGCGCTCAATGCGATCAACGGCTGGGTCAATGCCGCTTGCCGCACGCCGTGCTCCCTCCGCCAGAAGGGCGTGTGCCGAGCGCGATGGCAAGGCGGCCGGTGTGTCAGAAGGTGCCTCTGAAGCTACGGGTGGGTGGGACTGAGGCGGACCCCGACCCGTGGCGTCAGTCTTTTCCGTTTCCGATCCGGGAGCTGCATCGGCATCCCGGGGAAAGACACGACATTTGGCAAACTCGAAGAGATCGTCAGTGGCATCCAGAAGAACCCAGTATGATGTGTGCGTAAAAGCATACTCGCTGGCACGTAAAGTCTAATGGTCATGGGCAAAACCATCAGGTAACACCTCCTTCCAGTTTTGTAGCGCACAAGCAGCCCGCGCTGTGTTGTCGACTTTTGCTGCACCATACCTGCAGGTAATGGTAAAAGGTCACGGCGTCGTATTGGTCGAGAAAAACGGCCAAGTCGCGGAGCGTGCTCAGATCCTTGATGAGTTGGCGTGTTTGCTTGCCGATGGTGTGCCACACGCCATCCAGCTGGCGTCGCAATATCTTTTCAAGGACATTGTGATGAGGCACACGGCGGCGAGCGCTACGCAGAGCGCAGGCCTGAGCGGGTCGGTGTGCGCTCGCAACACTCACGCACCGTGGAAAAGTTTTGAAAAAGGCCAGACTCGGCCGTCAAGTGAGTCATATCTAGACTGGGCCGCAGTTTCTTGAGCTATGGCAAGTTTGGAAGTGACAGATCAACGGTGAGTCGGCAGATGGGCCAAACAGCCCAGTGTGGTTTTCCCATTTTCCTTTGGATATATGTGCGTGTGCTGCGGCACGCCCACCTGAGTCAAACTCGAGCTCATCAAGCGAACGAGAGCTTGCTGCACGCGGGCCATGTTCTTGGTCAAAGGCACCTGTCGGCGGTCGTGTCACCGTGGGCCACGTGATGGGTGTGAACCTTGGGGACGACGGTTGAGCATGCTGAATGTAGAATAGAAGCCATCGTACCTTGACTTCAAACACAGCCAGGCGATTCTCATGGACTTGAAGATCTTTGATGACGTCTCGCTGGAAGCGAGGCCAGATGTGCAGCTTGGTCACCCACAGACACCGCAGCACCTAACACTCAGACGTGGGTAGCCAACGGGGACGATGAAACAGGACATAAGATTGGTCCCAATGGAGGGGGAGCGCGAGGAACATGGCGTTTTGTGCCGGCCATCTCACCCGTTCGACAGTGTTGAAGCCAGATACAAAGGCGTATGGGTTGTCCGTGACGGCCTTGATGAAGCCAACGCGGTTGGCATGGCGATAGAGGCGCAAGATAAAGGCTTCAGAGGTGGTCGGAGTCACCTGTCGGGCCCAAAGTGGTGAGGCTTTCAGACTTCTGGTGCGACAGGCCTGGGCGCTGTGTCTGACACATGACACGGGCGTACCAAGTGCGCGTTGGCGACGACAAGACCCGCCACCTTGTCCATCGGCAGACGATTGGTCAGCATGTCGACAACAAGAATGCGAGACGTGACAAAAACAACGCCTGGGTGTGGGGAAGGGGGTTGGCACATTGGCGTCAAAGCCAAGTAAGCAGAGACATTGGTGTGGGTGAAATCGGGGGGCCGAGAACTTGGGCTGGGACAGTGAGATTCATCAGCACAGGCGTACCTCCACGAAGGTAGAGCGTCTCTCGCTCAAGGGAGGTTTGCTCATTGGTCATGCTCATGGGCGGATGCTGAGGCATGATTCCGGTCAAATCCTCCATCAGCAGCTCCTGCTCTGTTTGATTCACGTTGATAACGAGCACGAGCAGGCGAGGGTCGCAGTAGAGGGCAAGCACAGACAGGAGAACTCGCTCCAGGCCCATGCCCCGACCTGCCCTCGAACAGGAGCAAAAGATGAGCTGGCGGAGGCGATGTTGCACGGGGCTTGTTTAAGCCTTTCAGCCGGGACGCATAGGCCTACCAGTCACAAGCAAGCCGTCTGGGCATTCAGCGGCGAGGTCACGGAACATCTTGCGCTGAAAGCGAAGCATGCCCATACCGTTTGGCAACTCGAGGCCCGGCCCGGCCTCTGCATCAGCAGCAGCCATCTCTTGCTGAACTAGTGGGCAGGTCTGCCCCCTCCCCGCCACCCAGCAACCACCTGATCCTTGTATCCTTTTCAAACGCTGCACCGAACACCCTCAAATCCGCCGCTGCCGCCGCCGCCGTCGCCGCGCATCGGCATACACCACTGCCACTGCCTCTGACCGAGGTCTGCCGCCTCTGCTGACAAAACGGCTCCTGACCGTCATTGTCAGACGAATGCACACTCGCGACAACTTTTGTCGGATCAATTTTTTTATCTTTTTCTGACAAATGCTTGCCAAACATTCTCGCGCACGCTCGCGCAACACGCTCAGGCAGACGTGCACGAAAGCGCCCAACGCGACGTGAGTTGGGCATGGAGGCGCCGCTCCATCGATGCATCCATGCTTGGCCACGTTATGGATTGTGATGGTCTCTCTGCCCGAGTGCTCAATGTACAAGACGGGATGTCCCAGGTTGCGCGGCCCGTTTGAAGCACCAGGGGCTGGCTACCAACAGGGACGAAACAGAAGGAAGCGGGCGAACGCGCGAGAAGAGCCACAAGTGTCCAAAGGCACCAAAATTCGATTTCGATTCGATGGTGATTCCATCTACCTACAGGTTAACGAATTCGCACAATGTGATTTGGAAAGCAACGCCAACGGCATGTAGGTCCAAGTCCATTTCGAGCCCCAGCAACCCCCGATTCTGTTGAAAGCACACAACAAACCAGTCATGCTCGCTCACATGTCAGTCATCACCTCCAAGTCCACAAAACCACACGAGAAACCAAAGCCACCGCAAGCGGGCAAGGCCACGCTACCACGATCACAATACGATGTGGTTAGATTGTCCGATTCACTGATCAATTTTTACAAACATGCACAGAACGTGTGCATTAAGCCATCCAAGATTCTGCCCCATACGACAGCTACCTATGAGACCCAGGCCCATTGTGGGTTTGCCACAAGCATCCACCCCCAAACGCTCCAACACGAGACTTACTCAGCGCGATCGTGTCCCGTGCCTCGGTCAGTGTGTTGTGTTACCGTGCCGAAGCAGTCTCCCCCTTTCTTGTATCGTGACTTGCTCGGCTCGATCAAGCCTGGTTGGGAGACTTTGCAATGCTGAACACGCTCATCCAACAGCAACCACCACCACCATCACAAGAACACACTCAGGCGAAGGCGACGTCGCCTCGTAGGTATGCCTATAAGCGTACAGTGTCACTTGACCCCCACAACGCCACCCTAGGCTCTACCGACCCACAACCCAGCCAGGCCCTTGGCCAGCCCCATCGCATTGTTGTCCCACATGTTAACACGTAAATTCAATGTTGACAGCCCAAAAGCCGGCTCGAGCCCTAACCGCTTGCCCAAACCTACCACCCCACCTTCATCTACACAAGCCCATATGGTAGGGGAGACAGAGCAAATTCTCCCTTTTGCCATGTACATCTGATCTCGATGGGTTTGTTTGGCTTTGCTTTGCTCGTGAGGCACAGGCGGATGTGGCCATCGCCGCGAGATGGGTTGCGGAGCTGCTACCACGCACCCCCCCCACCCCCCCGGCTTTGGCACTATGCCCGCACAAGAGTAGCAATGGTGATATTTTCCTCTTCGTACACTGAGCGCTGATTTGATCCACCCTGCCGTTCGCCAACGCATACCATGGCTGTCGTCCTCAACGCCGCTGCCAACCTGGCTTCCCTAAAGCCCCGCAATCATGAAGCAGCCAACCAAGTGGCCATCGAACAGTACAGCGATGCCTCCGCCAAAGGCTACAAAAAGTCCAAGCTCGCAGCCTGGCGTCTCTACGGCGAGCGCCACTTGGCACAAAACATGCTTGGCAACCTTGTTGGCTGCCGTGTCCTTGATCTGGCCTGTGGCGAAGGCTTTTACACCCGCTTCCTCAAAAGTAACATGGGCGTGGCCTCAGTCATTGGTGTCGATCTCGCCCCCGATATGATCAAGCTGGCCCGCCAGGAGGAACAAGAGCGGCCTCTGGACATTGAATACATCTGCGCTGACGCCGCCGACTTGAACCTCGACCAGCTTGGCCACATTGACATGTGCTTTGCCGCCTACCTCCTGAACTATGCCCCTGACTACGACACCCTGTTGACCATGTGCAAGATGATCTTTCGCCTCCTGCCTCCTGGTGGACGCTTTGCCACCATCAACAACAACCCCAACGACGTCCAAGCTCATCATCCAGAGATGCGCAAGTACTGCTTCACCAAGACTTGTGCTGATCGCGTCCGAGTCGGAGGCACCGCCCCGCTGGCGCCCGGTGCCGTCATCAAGTACCGCTTCTTTGCCACTTCTGCCACTTGTGAGGCAATGTGCGAGATCGACAACTACTTCCTCCCGACCACCCTCTACCAACAGGCGCTGGCTGAGGCCGGCTTTGAGAACATCCAGTTCCATCCTTACGTTGTGAGTTCAGAAGGCCAAAAGCGCATGCCCGCGGGCTACTGGGACGATATCCTCGCAACCCAGCCTGTCATTGGTCTCTCCGCCAACCGACCCAAGTAAAGAAGACGGCAGTGCAGCAAGCTCTGCTATCAAGCCTGTTCGTAGCATCAACGGCTCGAAGGACTCCGAGTTGGTCCTTGATCCTTGTTTTCCATTCGTCCTTTTCCTCTCTGTCGACTGTCATTCTGTTTATGACACACCAAACTGTACATTGCCCCTGCGTGCGAGCGCTGCCATCCCCAGCCCTGAGTATCTTCATTATAATTGCATGTTTTTGCTTTTATGAAATGCTGTATGCAAGGCCTCCGACGCTGACCGAAGCAAAACACAAAGCAGATGCATACCGTGCCACACGCACGCGCGCACACAAGATAGAGACAGAGATGGTCAATTTCACCACAATAAATCAGGCTTGACATCTTTGATGCCAACTGCACGCATATGCAGTGCAGAGATCTGACCCCATCATCATCACAAAAGCGGGCAACTTTCATTCGCTCACTCACAAACACCGACACACACTTCACTCCAGCAAGGGTATGGGATTGCGCGCACTCAAACTCAGCCCGATAAATGGCTGAGCATCTGGGCAGCGTCCATCCCACACTCGATAGCTCAATACAAATGAACAAAAAACAACAACAACACCGTGTATAATCAGTTTGCTGGTCCCCGGCGTTGGCCACGCGTCATGTTACTCGTCACTATGGAAAAAGAAAGTGCCGACAAGCCCAAGAAGAACAGGGAATGAGGCGTCATGATTCAGTTCGAGCGCGCCGCTGCTTGACACTTGCATTAATGTGCTCTGCGCTTGGTCTAGCTTATCCCATTGCTTCTCTAATTGTGATGGTATTGATCTCTCTGCACACGCGCTTCCACGTGCCCTCAGATATCCCCACGCTCAGTCACAGGCTGTTCGATCTTACCGGCATATGCGTGGCGTTCGGCCATGGACACTGCGCTGATGGAGCGCCGACGCGAGGTTGACGAGCACCACGTGTCATAATCGTAGCAGCAATCACCATAGCTGGAGCATGCTGCATCGCACTGGCAGGCATCCGACTCGACATAAATGTTGCACGTGTTCATGCAGCTCTTCCCGCTGGTGCAGGATTCGCCAGCTGCATACAAAGCAGTGTAGGTGATGTCGTTGTCAGGTACCACAATGTTACGCTCGGCCGTATTCACGCCATCTGCCCAGCCTTGGAAGGTATACATGACATCGTTCAAGCACCGAGCCGGCTCGGCCAGCAACGTGTGCTTGAACAGCTTGACCTGATCAAACGTGTAGGGCGTCGACTTGGGCCCGCCATCCAGTGCAACAACCATGCCAGGAGGACTGGTTGCTAGCGTAATGTCCACCTCGTCTGGGTAGATATTGAGCGTGTTGGTGGCCACCAAGCCGTTGTCGTTGACAGAGCAGGTCGCACGATAGTACACCTCGGTACTAAAGCCATGCCCAGTTTCGGGAATAAAAATCTTTACTTTGCGATCGTCATCCGTGGCTGCTGGGTGCGTGTGGTCACCATGGACCATGACCACTTCCCAACTGTGCTTCTTGCTGCCAATCTTCTCACCGCCCTTCTTGCCACGGCACACAAACTTAATCTTCTCGCCGGCCTTGAAGAGATAACCGTCATCAGGCTTGCGCAGCTTGACCTTGGGCAATTTGCCGACACGAATGTCAATAAACTCAGATGTGGTGGATGCGTCGCCATCTGAGACCTGTCAAAGTGTGGGCGCAGCAGTCAGCATGAATATGAATGGATCAATGGGGGCAGGGGAAGGGGGGAGGAGTTCGCCTGAAAGTCCC